TTCCAGCCTAGTGAGAACAGGTAATTTGAAGAGAAACACTGGCTTGGTATCTTTAGTTTTGAAGGCTCTCATTATCCATCCTATCATGTTCCTAGCAGATGTGGTAGATATATTGTTGTGATCTTTGAAAGTGAAATTCTCTGATATTATCACTCGCAGGTCCTTCACATTAGTTTTTCGCTTGTTGTTTTGTCGACAGTTTCGTAAATAAAGTATTCTTTGTGATGATGCATATACACAGAGGTGTGTCCCTCTCAGTGTATATAAGCTGAGTTTACCTTAAACCCTATACGTATTTTCCTTTTTAAATTATTCTTGACTGGTGGTGAACAGGTTACATCCAATGGCCCCCTTGAGTAGTCTATAGGCTTCAAACCAATTAATCAACGTCATGATAGGATTCAAACCCAATTAACCAACCACAAAACCATGGCATAAATACAATTCATTATCAGAATATCTGAGTTTTAGGTACGCAATTCATCCGCCAAGTCAACCCGAGAACTCTCTGCCAACCCCAAAACTCGGGAACCAACTGCAAGAACGCAAAAGATCGTTGAGAGCAAATAGAACATAAGAGGAATTTTTGTTGACGGGTACCTTGATGCCGGTGAAGGGCTCTTGATCTAAGGAAGTGGAGCTACCCTTCCCCTTGAATCAAACCTGACAACCTTCCATTTACCGGGAGCTGTATGACTCCCTACGGATTTAGCGTTTCCTCGGGATAGTATTATTTTTTATCAATAATAATGGTAAAAATTTAAGATTTTGTGACAAAAAATTTCAGTGTAATAATGATTTTTAAGACTATCCCACAAATTCGATATCCACGAGGAAGCGCTAAACTTACAGGGGTCGTACACCGCCTGGGGAATGGGAGGCTATCAAGTTTAATCTGAGAAAGGAGAGGGTGGATCAAATTCCTTGGATCAAGATCGACCCACCCACCCCTTTGAAGGGCTAAGAAATGCATGCACTATAACCAGATAACCCATAATTAGGTCTAGGCTAATTACAAGCCTAGCAATTAGAGTTTCATGCTAATTTAGCTGCAGTTACTGACATTCCATGTAGCTGAAGGAGTATATGATACTAACTTATTTTTCAAGTGTACGTTAACGAGTCTGAAATGTTAATGGAGAGTAAAGATTTTTTTTGTTTCCATTTAACGAACGTAACGCTTGGTATATCCTGGTCTGGTATTTGATTATCATGGTTAAAATTATTACATTTTGGTTTAAAACGAGATAATCGTAGCTTAAAACGTGGTTAACTTCGTCTAAAACGAGCTCACCCGCTCTAAAACATTATTATCTCTGTTACCTAATTTTCTAGGGTGTCTTGTTTGTTTTTTCTTCCAAGGCTTCAGTTTGCAACTCGTGAAAGTCTCGTATGATCCGCTCTTAATTTTCAAGCTGTAACTAGGAAGTGGTTCATGCAGCTATTGCCATGTGCAGGCGCCCTGTCAATTCTATATAGCCCATTTCCGGATTAGGTCTGTATAACTTAAGAATGCCTCTTCTGATAGACTTCAAACTTTCAACACGTGTATCCTGCTCAAAAGGTTGGAATATTTATTAGAGTGCATGAGGCCAACTTATCAATTTTATTTTTGTATAGCATTATTGAAGAAATAACTTGAGTAAGCCTCTTCTGAACGACTTCAATATTTAAATGACTCATAGAGAATAATACCCAACAAGTTTAGGATTTACAAATGCAAATTTGCCAGTTAATTAAACCGAGAATCGTTGAATTCTAAGTAATAATGAAGAATGCCTCTTGTGGCTGGTTTCAAATTTTTAGCAATGGTGAATTTTATTCAAAGAAAGGCTGACACCGATTTGTGGCTGCTTAAGTGCCTACTCTCCCAAAGTTATTTAAAAATGGCTTCCATGCAATAACTGAGGACTAAATCGCCTTCCTGAATTCAAGCCACTAACTCTCTTGTATCTTAACTAGATATTTTTTCTATAGATCATGGGCTGTATGGGTGCCAGTTTAACAAGTGTATTGAAGACATTTATAAAATCTAAAGTGCTGATTTTCATGTAATCTGTGAATGCTTAATCCGATTGGTTTCAAGCCTTCAATGTTGATGTATCTTACAGGAATCTCTGGATTGTGAGTGGTCTGTTTAGGTGGTAATTTTCCAAAATTTGACTACAATCCTGGAGTAGAAAAACTCTGAACTCATCAAAGGTATAAGGGTAAATCCCTCAGCTGACCATCAAATAATGTCAAAGTTGTTTTAAACTTTTAGCAGAGATATGTTTCTCTCGAGGAAAAGTTTCACACTGATTTTATACCGTGAAAATTTTAATTTAATAGTCTAATTTTATAAAGCAAATTTGTTTCCATGGAATAAAAGAATTTTGATTGGTTTCAAACACTGGTGTATTCTACAAAAAAATTTAGAATAATTTTAGAATAAAATTTACCAATTTTATTGAAATTTGGGAAGCTGAAACACTGATTTTGATGCGATAATTTGAGAATGGCTCATCCGATCGGCTTCAAATCTTCAATGCGATAGCTTGATAATGCGACTTCTAAGCAGCTCTGGTGCCGGTGCATTTTGAGATATTGATATCTCTGATAACTACAGAATGCATCTTCTGACTGACTTTAAACTGTTACAGTAGTCATGTCTAAGTTAAGGCTTGAACTGGCTTTAGGAACATTATTTTTTAAGATGTCAAGTGACATCCTGGCTTTAGAAACATTCTTACAGCTATCAACAGACATCCTGGCTTTAGGAAGATCATTCTTACAGATGTCAACAGACATCCTATCCTGACTTTGTGAACATTATTCTTACAGTTGTTAGGAGGCACCCTAGCTTAATATCATTCTTACAGCTACCAGGAGATATCATAGCTTAAGAAAATTATTCTTACATTTGTCAGGAGACATCCTGACACGTTTAAGAACACCATCATCCCTTAAAGTTGTCAGGAAACATGCTTCTCATGCCGTATATCAACACAAGTACAGCAGAGGGACTGGCCGCCTGTCTTCTCGTGTGGCGCCAATAAATAACCGCTGCTTAATGTCCACCCGCCCTCCCAGCCTCTCCCTACTAGGCTGCCTTCATACTAATATTACTCTTGTTACGACTTTATTATAGTATCCATATGTTCTAGCCCTATAGCGGTGATTATGGAGTGGGGTACAGGGTGCTATGACCTATTATATATAAATTTAATAGGGGGAAGGGTGGTATGAACTATTACGCAATACAGTCGCAAATAATTTCAACAATGCAGAACAAGCCACATGGAGATGGAAATCTTTAGCTCGAGATTTTCATCCCTATGTGGTTTGTTCTGCAATGTCCTACCCCTCAAGGAAGGTTCCTTGATGTTGGTGAGGGGCTCTTGATTTAGAGAATTGGATCTGTGCTCCAGTTCCCCAAATTAAGCCTGAATGCCTTCCACATCCCCCCAGGCGCTGTATAATCCTCCGGGTTTAGCGCTTCCCCTTTGATTATAATAATAATAATAATGCAATGTCCTATTATATATAAATTTAACAAATTGTGGTTACGCTTATTATGCCCAACGGTCCCTTCAACGGGCCTGTTATGTGACCTATGCCAGCCGATCAATACACCTCAGAACGTGACCCAAACATGGTAATCAGTACAACTTACAGCCGTCAGGTGACCCCAGCTAGCCAATCAGGATATTCTAGAGCTCTCAAGTGATCTCTAGCCAACCAAAGAGGCTTAGCTTTCACCCCCTCAAGGAAGGTTCCTTGATGCTGGTGAGGGGCTCTTGATCATGGGAATTGGATCTGTGCTCCAGTTCCCTGAATTAAACCTGAATGCCTTCCACATCCCCCCACAGGCGCTGTATAATCCTATGGGTTTCGCGCTTCCCCCTGGATTATAATAATAATAATTAGCTTTCACCTAACATGCAAAAGCAAAACAATCCTCAGTACTCACGTCATCTCAACATGTCAAACGGTACACAGCTAAGATTGGCATGGTATCAACCAGACAATCGGTATAGTTCAGATTATCTAAACCATCAGTGAGGACAACTCGAGGTTAGTCACGCTATCAGGGAATCCTCAAAACTGTCAAGAGCAATCAGGAACAGGCCAGAATTGTCAGGTGATGTCACCTAGCCAACCAGAACAGCAAAAAATGATGCTGGCTGCATAATGGACAAACAATCTCGTGGTGGTGGTGGGTTATTCTTGTCAATAAAAATCTCATTGAAGCGGGTCTCGGGTCAACTTAGCTTCATGTTACATTAATTTTTGTACTAGTCGCGTCCTCAATATCGCTTGGTCCACTATAACAATTTTTATTTCTACATGTACAAGGTATACAGGCCTAGCTGACATCAATAACATACTACTATATGGAAAGCCCTTTGTTGTGCAGAGCATTTCAGCCAAATCAGGTCAGTTTTGTCCCATGATGCGACCCACACCAGTCGACTAACAGCTAGGTACCTATTTACTGATAGATGAACATGGACAGCAGGTGCCTTAAGGAAACACCACCTAACGTTTCCCGTCGTACCGGGGATCGATCCCCGGACCTCGGTGTGCGAACTGTGTACGCTAGCGGTCGAGCTACAGGACACCTTTCTTTTAGGCCAACACGAGTAAGCGCCGTTAAGAGAACTGCACACACGTCTCGCCCCAGCCCAAGATAGAACCCGGGCCTTTGATTGTAATCATTTATTTTAAATATACCTAAACATCACAATGAGGGGGTAAATCCACATTTCCCGCATATTAAACGTGAAATGCATTTTAAGTTTCTAAGTTACATACACCAGGAGGTCTCTCAGTGTGTATACGCAGTTTAATATCAATTTGAAAGATTAAACTATCAGTAACTGGTGGAAAACAGGTTACTTGCAGCCTTAATTACCCTCGAGAAGCCGATAGGTTACAAATAAAAACATTCGTAGTCTTAACAAAAGGTGAAGACTGAGTTACTGACAAGGTGTATAGGAAAGATATTAAATACTCACTGGTGTGACGACAGCAGGCTGGCTTCCTGTGTGTCACCACAAAGCTTACTGCTGTAAGTGTGCTCCTTGCTGTAGCCAACCCAACACTGACTACTTGTCTGGGTTGTCCTACCCACCACCACCACCTCGCTCTTCCCTCATCCTCCTCTTCATTCTTCCCTCATACTCCTTCTCTCCTCCTCTTCCGGCTCCCTCACCTCCTGGTCTCCTTCCCCAGGGACATAAAAACTGGGGGTAAGAGGCACAAGGGTGAGGGTGTTCCTGCGTGGTACTCTTGAGTGTCTTCCTGTGTTGTGACCGCAGTCATGACCACCACATATGCAGGATATAACAGTAGCAGCAACAGCATTAATAAACAAAGTTGTCACACAGAGAAGGCATTGAGCTACACGATGCTTTCATAAAAGTTTTGAAACTGGAGACCCATGGGTTAATAGAAAGTCAATATGATGATCGTCACCCCAGATGACACCAGTAACCCAAACACAAACACATCCATCCACACGCGCATAGTAACGACCAGCGAAAATTCGAGGTCAAGAGCTGTGAATCGACCCCTGCAACCACAATTAGGTGAGTACACACACACATACACACCCACACTCATATACACACCCACACACACATATACACACCAACACAGGGAGAGTGACCTAGTAGCGACCAGTGAAGAGGCGGGGCCAGGAGCTTGGACTCGATCCCTGCAACCTCAACTAGGTGAGTACACATATACAGACTCACACATACTCCCACACACACACACATACACACACACACACACACACACACACACACACACACACACACACACACACACACACACACACACACACACACACACACACACACACTATGAATCGACCCCTGCAACCGCAATTAGGCGAGTACACACAGTGGACCTAGTAGCGACCAGTGAAGAGGCGGGGCCAGAAGCTATGAATCAACCCTTGCAACCACAAATAGCTATGAATCAACCCTTGTAAGCACACACAAGCTAAGACTCGGCCCCTGCAATCACAAATGAATACACATAGTGAAGAGGCGGGGCCAGGAGCTGTGAATCGACCCCTGCAACCACAACTAGGTGAGTACAAGACCCACCGTCAACTCTCCGTCCCAGCAAAACGTGAAAGATAAGAGACAGTGTAATATACACACAGTATCACAAACAAAAGCGGTGCATTTCCTCTACAGTAATACTGAAATATTGATTAGTATTTGTATTCGAACAACATATGAAATAGCCACTACAAGCGTTTTAACATTGCTTTATAAAAAAAATCCGAAAATGTCAATCATAAACCAAAAAGTTAAGAGTTAATATAAAAAATGCAAACTAAATAATCATCCAGTAGTTACAAGTTCATTTTTAAGGCTGCCCAAATGCTCTGCATAAGCTTTTTATAGTGTGCCAATAATGTCAACTAATCCTGTAGAAAATACTGTATATATTTTCCAGAAATTCAGTATTTATATGTATATAGATGGCCATACTGTATTTAATAATATTTATGTCATAGAAAACGGAGAGCCTGCGTCGGAGAAGGAGACTCGCCATCTTGGTTTTGAATTGGATGCAACGTTAATATAATGGGAAGAATTTTTCGTGCTCTAGAGGTTAAAATTGTGTTGACACCTCTCAAATAGGAGGCGAAATTGGTGGATGTGCATTCCTGCATAACTTGAGATATCAGACGACTGGACAAGACAGCTCCAGGAACCTCAGATAAGCTCTCTAGATTTGTGTGTAATTCTGGCCAGCATTATTTTCATAGATTTAGTTAGAGTGAGGTTTTCTGAGTATGATACAACTTAATATCCAGTCAAATTGGTGAGTGATATTAAGATATATTTTCCTTCTGTTATGTATATGTGAATTTATATATAATCATTTTTTAATATACAGTCCACAAATTTATATATTTACCAGTATTCCTGGTGTATGTATATTTCATTTAATTAATAGGTCCAGAGCAACTTGTGGTTATGACAGTGGTAGGTATCGAAGGGGACATTTTTTTGCGACCTAGGTGTCCCAAATTCCTACTTGTCTATGTAACATTGATAAATAATAATTATCTTTGTTATCATTTACTGTTATGTACATAATTAGTTACATTCAGATAAATGCAATTTTCCACAAATCCTATATCAATTGTATAATGTACTTTTTAAAAATATAATGATAATTATAATATTAAATAAAGGACAACAGCGGAGGAGCATCCACATATTATAGCTGTTGCCTGTCACCAGAGGTTGTTAGGCGAGACTGTCTAAAAAGTCACAATACTGTGGCAGTAGCAGTACACAAATATCCGATTGAAACGTCATCATAAGCTTCAGTCTACTACCCGTGAACGGTTTCTAGGGCTCTTCCAGGCCCCGCAGCCCGGCCTGAGGCCAGGCTTCCTTGTTGACCGCCTGGTTAACCAGTCTGCCTAAGTGCGTATTATTTGTGTATTGTGTCGTTAGACGAGGTTGTTGCTTCTCTCACCATCGGTCGTTAGAATCAAGCTGCAGTCTCCACCACTAGAGGTTACTAAAATTGTAGCCTGTCATCAGTGGCTGTTAAGACTGCTTATAACTTTCATATTGCAGAAATATGCCTGGCCATTAGGAAATTTGTGTAATGAATTTGGTGACGCTTCGTTTACTCATTCTTGTTCTGTTGTAGATACAGAGACCGCGGGACTTAATTGCCTTCCGTTAACAATGAAGACATGGATCCGATTTTGCAGTCATAGTAGGTCACCGATACTTGTGCACACAATCGCCACTGCTACCTGGAACTATTGACTGATCCTATGTTCAACCAACGTCCTGTATTAAATAACTCTTAGGATTTGTCTTCACAAGTTTTGGAACTCATGACAAAAAGAAGACATTCTCCAAATAACAGAAATATGAATAAAAAAGACAATAAGGAGAGGCATCACTTATATGAGGACACTTATTGACGAATCTTGAGGTCATAGAATATTTATACACTCAAAACAAATAATGTAAACAATTTTTATCTCTACTAACTTTGGGAAAGGTGTCAAGCGTGTCGCCACAGAGTCGGTGGGAGACATCAGTTGGTGAGTTCTCAGGTGACAGTGGTGATAAACCTGGCAGAAAAAAAAGCAGTAGCTGCCTTTCCTTACCAGAAGTGTAACACTTCTCATAATCAACGTAGCTGACTATAACCAAGTCTGAGGCCGCCAGTTAAGACAATGTTCGTGAATGTACTGTTGTTGCTGCTGATCTCCAGCCTGATGGCACAGGCGGGTAATGGTGAGTATATCACAGCAAGGTAGTGTATGTAGTAGTTTCTCAGAATAACTGGACACTACTTACAAGGCAGGCAGTCGCTGGTGTGTACGAGAGTAACTTATACGGGAGTAATTTATGACAACAAAGTCAATTTTCTTCACTAGTTTTAGGAATAAACTATTGATGTGGACTGTATGAAAATTAGACCTGACTCTCCTATTTGTTTGTACTAATAATTACATATTAATTTCATTATTTGAAATATATTATTTTTTTTATTATCACACTGGCCGATTCCCACCAAGGCAGGGTGGCCCGAAAAAGAAAAACTTTCACCATCATTCACTCCATCACTGTCTTGCCAGAAGGGTGCTTTACACTACAGTTTTTAAACTGCAACATTAACACCCCTCCTTCAGAGTGCAGGCACTGTACTTCCCATTTCCAGGACTCAAGTCCGGCCTGCCGGTTTCCCTGAACCCCTTCATAAATGTTACTTTGCTCACACTCCAACAGCACGTCAAGTATTAAAAACCATTTGTCTCCATTCACTCCTATCAAACACGCTCATGCATGCCTGCTGGAAGTCCAAGCCCCTCGCACACAAAACCTCCTTTACCCCCTCCCTCCAACCTTTCCTAGGCCGACCCCTACCCCGCCTTCCTTCCACTACAGACTGATACACTCTTGAAGTCATTCTGTTTCGCTCCATTCTCTCTACATGTCCGAACCACCTCAACAACCCTTCCTCAGCCCTCTGGACAACAGTTTTGGTAATCCCGCACCTCCTCCAAACTTCCAAACTACGAATTCTCTGCATTATATTCACACCACACATTGCACTCAGACATGACATCTCCACTGCCTCCAGCCTTCTCCTCGCTGCAACATTCATCACCCATGCTTCACACCCATATAAGAGTGTTGGTAAAACTATACTCTCATACATTCCCCTCTTTGCCTCCAAGGACAAAGTTCTTTGTCTCCACAGACTCCTAAGTGCACCACTCACCATTTTCCCCTCATCAATTCTTTGATTCACCTCATCTTTCATAGACCCATCTGCTGACACGTCCACTCCCAAATATCTGAATACATTCACCTCCTCCATACTCTCTCCCTCCAATCTGATATCCAATATTTCATCACCTAATCTTTTTGTTATCCTCATAACCTTACTCTTTCCTGTATTCACTTTTAATTTTCTTCTTTTGCACACCCTACCAAATTCATCCACCAATCTCTGCAACTTCTATTCAGAATTTCCCAAGAGCACAGTGTCATCAGCAAAGAGCAACTGTGACAACTCCCACTTTATGTGTGATTCTTTATCTTTTAACTCCACGCCTCTTGCCAAGACCCTCGCATTTACTTCTCTTACAACCCCATCTATAAATATATTAAACAACCACGGTGACATCACACATCCTTGTCTAAGGCCTACTTTTACTGGGAAATAATTTCCCTCTTTCCTACATACTCTAACTTGAGCCTCACTATCCTCGTAAAAACTCTTCACTGCTTTCAGTAACCTACCTCCTACACCATACACCTGCAACATCTGCCACATTGCCCCCCTATCCACCCTGTCATACGCCTTTTCCAAATCTATAAATGCCACAAAGACCTCTTTAGCCTTATCTAAATACTGTTCACTTATATGTTTCACTGTAAACACCTGGTCCACACATCCCCTACCTTTCCTAAAGCCTCCTTGTTCATCTGCTATCCTATTCTCCGTCTTACTCTTAATTCTTTCAATAATAACTATACCATACACTTTACCAGGTATACTCAATGGACTTATCCCCCTATAATTTTTGCACTCTCTTTTGTCCCCTTTGCCTTTATACAAAGGAACTATGCATGCTCTCTGCCAATCCCTAGGTACCTTACCCTCTTCCATACATTTATTAAATAATTGCACCAACCACTCCAAAACTATATCCCCACCTGCTTTTAACATTTCTATCTTTATCCCATCAATCCCGGCTGCCTTACCCCCTTTCATTTTACCTACTGCCTCACGACCTCCCCCCACACTCACAACTGGTTCTTCCTCACTCCTACAAGATGTTATTCCTCCCTGCCCTATACACGAAATCACAGCTTCCCTATCTTCATCAACATTTAACAATTCCTCAAAATATTCCCTCCATCTTCCCAATACCTCTAACTCTCCATTTAATAACTCTCCTCACCACGATTACACTATTAAATATAGAGCGCCTCATTAGTTTAGATCCTTCAGTATATTACGTCGAGAACCTACAGTCTGTCAAAATTTCTCACCTTTTTAGGCTTCAACTTAATTATTACTGTTATATTCAGGGCTAAATCCATAGAGATGATATAGATCTTGGGGGAATGGGAGGAATTCAGGTTTGATCTACGGAAAGGAAGCAAAAATTGTACGATTTTTTTTTTTTTTTTTTTTGGACAATTCTAAAAATATATATATAATCACCTCCGGTTAACAAATCCCGCAAGATTTAAACAAAGTCACAAGATGAGTAGAATACAAATTTAAGCTTACAGATGTTACAAGTTTTCCAGATTTATTATATTCATAGAATTTTCAAGTTTTCGATTAATTATGAATGACATAAAAGGGATTAGTCTGGGCCTCCAATATTAGGCCTAAGTCTCAAAAACATCTCAGTCTTCAACCCCCCCTCCCAATGACTACCCCTGAGTACAACAATTAACGATTGAAATTTCGAAAGGGATTCCTCAAGGAAATGGACATGAAATGAGATGGAAACAAGATACCAGTCATACTAAAGAAGTAAACAAAATTTGATTGAAAAAAAAAATTATATATCCAGATGTACTCCTGCTAACACTCTTAGGGCCTAGTTCCTAGGCCTTTTGCATATCCAAATGCTTTTGTGGTAGTTCCAACGGATAGATATGGGGGTCCCACAATAAATTATAGTTGCTTCAGTTGCAAAATCTAATTTTTCACCGACTTCTAAATTATAGACGCTACACTCACTGAGGAAAATTTTGGAATTTCCTAAATGTTGAACATATTAATAATAGTGTAATAAAATGTGATGCTATTTGGAACCTTCAAGAAATTTCGAATGGGGGAGTAGAGCTGCAAAGTGACGCCGTGGAGGCGCCATTTTAAAATTTGTGAACACTGGTTATAGTGGGAAATTCTGTTTAATAATTCGGCGTTTTCCGAGGCCTGATGAGGTGTTTCGGCCTGAATTTGTAATAGGAACCCCGTGTTAATGTCCCATGCTGAAGAACTGGGACAAGAAATTTGCGGGACCACAAGAATTACATGTGGATGGCGAAATAAGGGATGCAAACATCACTCGCAGGGAAGTACACCATAGTCTTTGCATTTAGATCTCAGCTGGCCAGTGTAGGGTCTAGATGTTAGGCAGGTGTTGAGGTGTGATCCATCTACAGTAATTAAACGGTAAGGGATAACAAATTCTTTTCTAATAACACTAATGTGTTAATATGAATAGTTTGTGTGCCCAGCAATAAAACTAAAATCGTATACAGTAGCTGGTTTTAATTTTATAATCATTAAGTTAATGTCAGGTCTAGCTTTTTGTGAGAGGTGAAGAAGTGGGCAGTCGAACGAGTTGCAACTCAGTGATCTACTGTGACTAAGTCCCACTTACCTCACCCAAATTACTTGCAGGTAATAATTCAGGTGATGTTCTGTAAACCTCCTGCAGGTGATTTGCTCACATAATAATTTTTCACACTCACAATACACACCTTAGAAAACTGGAATTATTATGTCATGCACTAAGCTCATTTGGGTTGTAATAATGTTGGTAGATTATTATAATCATTGGGAGCGCCAAACCCGTAGGGATTATACAGCGCATGTGGGAGGGATGGAAGGCATTCAGGCTCAACTCAGGGAACTGGAGCACAGATCCAATTCCCTAGATCAAGAGCCCCTCACCAGCGTCAAGGAACCTCCTTTGAGGGGTAATGTTGGTAGAATTCCCGACATGTTAGTAAAAAGACACATGTCAAGCCACTGCGACAATTTGTTGGTCAATATGACGGCTTGTCAAAGTTCCTGGAGAGCGAAACGTTGCCACAATAAAATGTCACATAAATTACATGTGTCCTATTATCTCATAGTGGATGCTCATCACAAGGAGTGATGGAGACAGATAACAGCGAGACAGTTGCTACTATCGCAGCTAGGTTTTCCTGGGATGTATATTTTAATATTTAAGCTTTATTTTGGAGATATGTTTACAATGAATGGTAGAAAATGTTTCGTAACTAGGAAACAGAGGTTCGAGCCTCCAACAGACATTGTGCTTAATGACTAATACGGGTTTAGTACTTTGCTTTAATTACATAAAAATTATTATTTAATCATGTGACTAGTTCAATGCAAAGATCCACTTTGTGACCAGCAAAATATTTGCTTTAAATATTTCTGAACGAATTGAATTTATTTTTTTTTCAGTCACAAAACTAACATCGATTATGAAGCATAAATGGTTAGCCAGTATGGTCGTAGACTGTGTGGAGTACATAATCCTTCCTCCCTTCCTCTTGCGTTGAGGTTTAGACAGGTATACTGTCGAAACTAGCTTAAATAAAATAACTAGCATTTCTATTTTCAGAAGCATTTATCTCGAATGTATTTTCAGGTGCAGATTCGTGCCCTGAACCATTCGTCTTGATTGGGGAAGGCTGCTACTTCCATAATCCGAGCGTCACTCGGACGTTTGTTGAGGCACGATTATACTGCCAAACTCTCCTGCCAGGGGAGATCGCCGACTTGGCTGTCCTCGATGTTTACTGTGACGATTTTAAACACTTAGCCTCCTACGCCAGTGGCGTGCAAGGTATTGAAACTAGCTTTTGTTGATGGTGGTAGTAGTGTTAGTGGAAGTATTACTGGTGGTTGGCCTTTGGTAGCGATGGTAGAGGTAATGACTGGTGGTGGTGTGAATGCTGGTGGTAGTGTTGGTGGTAATATAGCTAGTGGTAGTGATGAAGGTGGTAGTCGTGATGGAGGTGGTGATCGTGGTTGTGGTGGTGGTAGCACTACTGGTGGAAGAGCTGGTGGTCGTATTGTTAGTGGTAAAAATGGAGGCAGTGATGGTGATGGTAGTCGTTGTGGTGGTGCATCATTACTAGTGATAAGTATTGGTGGTGATAGTGTTGGTGTTGGTTGTGTTGTAGGTGGTAGCAGTGATGGCAATAGTACTGGTGGTGGTGTTCTGTTGATTGTATTGTTGTGATGGTAGAAGCGGTGGTATTAATGGCAGAGGTAGCGGTGGTGGCGAGTGTTCGAGGTGATAGCGATGGTGATAGCAATGTTTGATATAACTTACTTTCATATGACAGTATTCAAGGGAGATAAATGTAAGAAATCTTCAGTATTCATGTGTAGTTATGTACATTCTGTCTAGGTGTGACAAAAGGCTGATAATTGCAATACTATGTAAGATAAATTATCTAGGATGGAGTCTTCCATAACTTTCTCATTTCCACTTCAGACAATTCTTCCATAACTTTCTCATTTCCACTTCAGACAATTCTTCCATAACTTTCTCATTTCCACATCAGAGAAGTCTTCCATAGCTTTTCTCTCATCTCCACACCATGAAGTCTTCCATAACATTCTCTCTCCTACAGCGAGGTGGCGACCATGGATAGGCGCTACCGACGAAAATCACCCTGGATACTTGATGTGGGTCGACGGTCGCCCTGTAGACCTTACTGAAGCTTACTGGGACCCTGATCAACCTGAATATAATGACGATAGAACGTGCGCCTATATGGCCCTTAATACAGAAACTGTGAACAAGTTCCGCCTGTTCACTACCGATTGTGATGTTCATACAGACACCCTTTGTCAGCTGGGTGTGCACGCTCGTACATAACCCAGTGTCAGCTGGGTGTGCACGCTCGTACATAACCCAGTTCGCTGGTGTGCACGCTCGTACATAACCCAGTGTCAGCTGGGTGTGCACGCTGTCTACCCAGTGTAGCGTGGTGTGCACGCTCGTACATAACCCAGTGTCACTGGGTGTGCACGCTCGTACATAACCCAGTGTCAGCTGGGTGTGCACGCTCGTACATAACCCAGTGTCAGCTGGGTGTGCACGCTCGTACATAACCCAGTGTCAGCTGGGTGTGCACGCTCGTACATAACCCAGTGTCAGCTGGGTGTGCACGCTCGTACATAACCCAGTGTCAGCTGGGTGTGCACGCTCGTACATAACCCAGTGTCAGCTGGGTGTGCACGCTGTACATAACCCAGTGTCAGCTGGTGTGCACGCTCGTACATAACCCAGTGTCCAGCTGGGTGTGCACGCTCGTACATAACCAGTGTCAGCTGGGTGTGCACGCTCGTACATAACCAGTGTCAGCTGGGTGTGCACGCTCGTAACTAACCCAGTGTCAGCTGGGTGTGCACGCTCGTACATAACCAGTGTCAGCTGGGTGTGCACGCTCGTACATAACCCAGTGTCAGCTGGGTGTGCACGCTCGTACATACCCAGTGTCAGCTGGGTGTGCACGCTCGTACATAACCAGTGTCAGCTGGGTTGCACGCTCGTACATAACCCAGTGTCAGCTGGTGTGCACGCTCAGTACATAACCCAGTGTCGCTGGTGTGCACGCTGTACATAACCGTGTCAGCTGGGTGTGCACGCTCGTACATAACCCAGTGTCAGCCTGGGTGTGCACGCTGTACATAACCCAGGTCAGCTGGAGTGTCACGCTCGTACATAACCGTGTCAGCTGGGTGTGCACGCTCGTACATAACCCAGTGTCAGCTGGGTGTGCACGCTCGTACATAACCCAGTGTCAGCTGGGTGTGCACGCTCGTACATAACCCAGTGTCAGCTGGGTGTGCACGCTCGTACATAACCCAGTGTCAGCTGGGTGTGCACGCTCGTACATAACCCAGTGTCAGCTGGGTGTGCACGCTCGTACATAACCCAGTGTCAGCTGGGTGTGCACGCTCGTACATAACCCAGTGTCAGCTGGGTGTGCACGCTCGTACATAACCCAGTGTCAGCTGGGTGTGCACGCTCGTACATAACCCAGTGTCAGCTGGGTGTGCACGCTCGTACATAACCCAGTGTCAGCTGGGTGTGCACGCTCGTACATAACCCAGTGTCAGCTGGGTGTGCACGCTCGTACATAACCCAGTGTCAGCTGGGTGTGCACGCTCGTACATAACCCAGTGTCAGCTGGGTGTGCACGCTCGTACATAACCCAGTGTCAGCTGGGTGTGCACGCTCGTACATAACCCAGTGTCAGCTGGGTGTGCACGCTCGTACAAACCCAGTGTCAGCTGGGTGTGCACGCTCGTACATAACCCAGTGTCAGCTGGGTGTGCACGCTCGTACATAACCCAGTGTCAGCTGGGTGTGCACGCTCGTACATAACCCAGTGTCAGCTGGGTGTGCACGCTCGTACATAACCCAGTGTCAGCTGGGTGTGCACGCTCGTACATAACCAGTGTCAGCTGGGTGTGCACGCTCGTACATAACCCAGTGTCAGCTGGGTGTGCACGCTCGTACATAACCCAGTGTCAGCTGGGTGTGCACGCTCGTACATAACCCAGTGTCAGCTGGGTGTGCACGCTCGTACATAACCCAGTGTCAGCTGGGTGTGCACGCTCGTACAAACCCAGTGTCAGCTGGGTGTGCACGCTCGTACATAACCCAGTGTCAGCTGGGTGTGCACGCTCGTACATAACCCAGTGTCAGCTGGGTGTGCACGCTCGTACATAACCCAGTGTCAGCTGGCACCTCAACAAGAACTGACTAGATACTATTGAAGGTTTTTCGATCTAAGATATTCAAGCTCCTCTTCCTCAGATCAACCTGATTACCCTTACATTTCCCAGACGTTGTGTCCCTTACGGGTTTAGTTCTTCCCAGAAATGTAATAATAAATATCAGCTAGTGTTAATATACCAGTGTTGATGTCAGCTGGTGTTACATATACCGGGTGATGTCATCTGGTGTTACATATACCGGGTGATGTCAGCTGGTGTTACATATACCGGGTGATGTCAGCTGGTGTTACATATACCAGGTGATGTTAGCTGGTGTTACATATACCAGGTGTTGATGTTAGCTGGTGTTACATATACCGGGTGATGTCAGTTGGTGTTACATATACCGGGTGATGTCAGCTGGTGTTACATATACCGGGTGATGTCAGCTGGTGTTACATATACCGGGTGATGTCAGCTGGTGTTACATATACCGGGTGATGTCAGCTGGTGTTACATATACCGGGTGATGTCAGCTGGTGTTACATATACCAGGTGTTGATGTTAGCTGGTGTTACATATACCAGGTGTTGATGTTAGCTGGTGTTACATATACCAGGTATTATCAGTGTTACATATACCAGGTGTTGTCAGCTGGTGTTACATATACCAGGTGTTGATGTCAGCTGGTGTTACATATACCGGGTGATGTCAGCTGGTGTTACATATACCGGGTGATGTCAGCTGGTGTTACATATACCGGGTGATGTTAGCTGGTGTTACATATACCAGGTATTATCAGTGTTACATATACCAGGTGTTGTCAGCTGGTGTTACATGTACCAGGTGTTGATGTCAGCTGGTGTTACGTATACCAGGTGTTGATGTCAGCTGGTGTTACATATACCAGGTGTTGATGTCAGCTGGTGTTACATATACCAGGTGATGTCAGCTGGTGTTACATAGTACCAGGTGTTGATGTCAGCTGGTGTTACATGTACCAGGTGTTGATGTCAGCTGGTGTTACATGTACCAGGTGTTGATGTCAGCTGGTGTTACATGTACCAGGTGTTGATGTCAGCTGGTGTTACATGTACCAGGTGTTGATGTCAGTGGTGTTACATGTACCAGGTGTTGATGTCAGCTGGTGTTACATATACCAGGTGTTGATGTCAGCTGGTGTTACATATACCAGGTGTTGATGTCAGCTGGTGTTACATGTACCAGGTGTTGATGTCAGCTGGTGTTACATATACCAGGTGATGTCAGCTGGTGTTACATATACCAGGTGTTGTCAGCTGGTGTTACATATACCAGGTGTTGATGTCAGCTGGTGTTACATATACCAGGTATTGTCAGATAGTGTTACATATACCAGGTGTTGTCAGATAGTGTTACATATACCAGGTGATGTCAGCTGGTGTTACATATACCAGGTGTTGTCAGCTGATGTTACATATACCAGGTGTTGATGTCAGCTGGTGTTACATATACCAGGTGTTGATGTCAGCTGGTGTTACATGTACCAGGTGTTGATGTCAGCTGGTGTTATATATACCAGGTATTGATGTCAGCTGGTGTTACATATACCAGGTATTGATGTCAGCTGGTGTTACATATACCAGGTGATGTCAGCTGGTGTTACATATACCAGGTGTTGTCAGCTGGTGTTACGTATACCAGGTGATGTCAGCTGGTGTTACATATATCAGGTATCAGTGTCAACTGGTGTACTAATGTAAACTGGCGTTATACCAGGAATTAATGTAAACTGGTGTTATATCAGGTATTGTCAACTGGTGTTATACCAGGTATTTCTGTCAGCTGGTGTTATTTAGACAAGGTATTGATGTCACCTGTTACATGAACCAGGTTTTGATGTAACCTTGTGTTATATAAACCGTTTGATGCCACCTGGTATTATATAAACCCGGTGTTGAGGTCGTCAGGGGTAAGATAAACCAGATATTGGTGTCACCTGGTATATAAATCCGGTGTTGTCACCTGGTGTTATATAAACCCGGTGTTTATGTCAACTGATGTTAAATAAACCAGATGATGTCACTGCCCCACAGTACATGTTTAATCATCAGGATCGTAGATATATTATGAACTAACAATAAACCTGAGTTTTGGCACATTATAATAATAATTGGCACCTTTTATCTATCAAGAAACTACTACTGTGGTCTTTTTTCTATCAACAAACTACTACTGTGGTCTTTTATCTATCAAGGAACTACTATTGTGGTCTTTGACTTTGTTATTTATTTAATCAAGTTTTAGTCTGTTTCAAATAAAGATTATTTACTATACAAGAAATATTTTTCCTCCATTTCTCAACGTCTTCCTCCGCCACTACTTAGACCCACTCTCCATATTGTAACATTCCTCCAGCTCGCTCGCTCTCTCTCGCTCTCTGGCTCTCTCTCCCGCTCTCTGGCTCTCTCTCCCGCTCTCTGGCTCTCTCTCTCGCGCTCTCTCTCTCTCGCGCTCTCTCGCGCTCTCTCTCTCCGCGCTCTCTCTCTCTCGCGCTCTCTCTCTCTCGCGCTCTCTCTCTCTCGCGCTCTCTCGCGCGCTCTCTCTCGCGCGCTCTCTCTCGCGCGCTCTCTCTCGCGCGCTCTCTCTCGCGCGCTCTCTCTCGCGCGCTCTCTCTCTCGCTCTCTCTCTCTCTCTCGGCTCTCTCTCTCTCTCTCGCTCTCTCTCTCTCTCTCGCTCTCTCGCTCTCTCGCTCTCTCGCTCTCTCGCTCTCTCGCTCTCTCGCTCTCTCGCTCTCTCGCTCTCTCGCTCTCTCGCTCTCTCGCGCTCTCGCGCTCTCGCGCTCTCGCGCTCTCTCTCTCTCTCTCTCTCTCTCGCTCTCTCTCGCTCTCTCTCGCTCTCTCTCGCTCTCTCTCGCTCTCTCGCTCTCAAATTATACAAGTTCGCAACACGAGAAACATCGTATCCCTCAGTAAATAAAACTTCTGCAGGTTGGTTTTTCAATACTTTTATCACTTTGTCAGTCGTTACAATTTGGCAGTTAAAGAGTTTACTGTAGTGAGAACGACATCAGATCGTCAGAGTAACATTGTGTCAGTACTGCAGACTTAACTAGTGACTTTGTAGTTGTTTAAAGAAATAAAGTACTGGGAACCGAAGATTTAACTTGTAATTGTATGTACTAGTGACCGAACCGGTGACCTTGCTATTGTGCAGGTGCTGAGATCGAACCGGTGACATTGCTATTGTGCAGGTGCTGATACCGAACCGGTGACCTTGCTATTGTGCAGGTGCTGAGACCGACCCGGTGACCTTGCTACTGTGCAGGTGCTGATACCGAACCGGTGACCTTGCTATTGTGCAGGTGCTGAGACCGACCCGGTGACCTTGCTACTGTGCAGGTGCTGAGACCGAACCGGGGACCTTGCTACTGTGCAGGTGCTGAGACCGAACCGGTGACCTTGCTACTGTGCAGGTGCTGAGACCGACCCGGTGACCTTGCTATTGTGCAGGTGCTGAGATCGAATCGGTGACCTTGCTACTGTGCAGGTGCTAAGACCGAACCGGGGACCTTGCTACTGTGCAGGTGCTGAGACCGAACCGGTGACCTTGCTACTGTGCAGGTGCTGAGACCGAACCGGTGACCTTGCTATTGTGCAGGTGCTGAGACCGAACCGGGGACCTTGCTATTGTGCAGGTGCTGAGACCGAACCGGTGACCTTGCTACTGTGCAGGTGCTGAGACCGAACCGGGGACCTTGCTACTGTGCAGGTGCTGAGACCGAACCGGTGACCTCGCTACTGTGCAGGTGCTGAGACCGAACCGGGGACCTTGCTACTGTGCAGGTGCTGAGACCGAACCGTGACCTTGCTATTGTGCAGGTGCTGAGACCGACCCGGTGACCTTGCTACTGTGCAGGTGCTGAGACCGAACCGGTGACCTTGCTACTGTGCAGGTGCTGAGACCGAACCGGTGACCTTGCTACTGTGCAGGTGCTGAGACCGTACCGGGGACCTTGCTATTGTGCAGGTGCTGAGACCGAACCGGGGACCTTGCTACTGTGCAGGTGCTGAGACCGACCCGGTGACCTTGCTACTGTGCAGGTGCTGAGACCGAACCGGGGACCTTGCTACTGTGCAGGTGCTGAGACCGAACCGGGGACCTTGCTACTGTGCAGGTGCTGAGACCGAACCGGTGACCTTGCTACTGTGCAGGTGCTGAGACCGGCCCGGTGACCTTGCTACTGTGCAGGTGCTGAGACCGGCCCGGTGACCTTGCTACTGTGCAGGTGCTGAGACCGTACCGGGGACCTTGCTATTGTGCAGGTGCTGAGACCGACCCGGTGACCTTGCTACTGTGCAGGTGCTGAGACCGAACCGGGGACCTTGCTACTGTGCAGGTGCTGAGACTGAACCGGTGACCTTGCTACTGTGCAGGTGCTGAGACCGACCCGGTGACCTTGCTATTGTGCAGGTGCTGAGATCGAATCGGTGACCTTGCTACTGTGCAGGTGCTAAGACCGAACCGGGACCTTGCTACTGTGCAGGTGCTGAGACCGAACCGGTGACCTTGCTACTGTGCAGGTGCTGAGACCGAACCGGTGACCTTGCTATTGTGCAGGTGCTGAGACCGAACCGGGGACCTTGCTATTGTGCAGGTGCTGAGACCGAACCGGTGACCTTGCTACTGTGCAGGTGCTGAGACCGAACCGGGGACCTTGCTACTGTGCAGGTGCTGAGACCGAACCGGTGACCTCGCTACTGTGCAGGTGCTGAGACCGAACCGGGGACCTTGCTACTGTGCAGGTGCTGAGACCGAACCGGTGACCTTGCTATTGTGCAGGTGCTGAGACCGACCCGGTGACCTTGCTACTGTGCAGGTGCTGAGACCGAACCGGTGACCTTGCTACTGTGCAGGTGCTGAGACCGAGCCGGTGACCTTGCTACTGTGCAGGTGCTGAGACCGTACCGGGGACCTTGCTATTGTGCAGGTGCTGAGACCGAACCGGGGACCTTGCTACTGTGCAGGTGCTGAGACCGACCCGGTGACCTTGCTACTGTGCAGGTGCTGAGACCGAACCGGGGACCTTGCTACTGTGCAGGTGCTGAGACCGAACCGGGGACCTTGCTACTGTGCAGGTGCTGAGACCGAACCGGGGACCTTGCTACTGTGCAGGTGCTGAGACCGAACCGGGGACCTTGCTACTGTGCAGGTGCTGAGACCGAGCCGGTGACCTTGCTACTGTGCAGGTGCTGAGACCGGCCCGGTGACCTTGCTACTGTGCAGGTGCTGAGACCGTACCGGGGACCTTGCTATTGTGCAGGTGCTGAGACCGTACCGGGGACCTTGCTATTGTGCAGGTGCTGAGACCGACCCGGTGACCTTGCTACTGTGCAGGTGCTGAGACCGAACCGGTGACCTTGCTACTGTGCAGGTGCTGAGACCGAACCGGGGACCTTGCTACTGTGCAGGTGCTGAGACTGAACCGGTGACCTTGCTACTGTGCAGGTGCTGAGACTGAACCGGTGACCTTGCTACTGTGCAGGTGCTGAGACTGAACCGGTGACCTTGCTACTGTGCAGGTGCTGAGACTGAACCGGTGACCTTGCTACTGTGCAGGTGCTGAGACTGAACCGGTGACCTTGCTACTGTGCAGGTGCTGAGACCGAACCGGTAGACTGGTCTTATTTTTTTTCTGGGCTCTAGATACATTATCTTGCTGTCTATTGCTTGTCAGCCACATATGGTTTAAAATCCATCAATATATTAAAAAATAAAACAAGCGCTAAACACGCACGAGTCACAGCTCATAGCCTAGTGTTAAACCAAGGATATTCCAGAAGTATTTGGCAGCCCAAGTGAAGGGTTAAACACGCTAATATCAAAATAAACCTATAATTATAAGTAAAACACTACAAAAAAACACAATAAACAAGAACATTAAATATAAACCTACTGGTGAATATTACAGGACATCACCTCATTCGTGAGTGAAGCGTCGAACCTGTAGGCCACTCCGAGCCTGAAAGAGTAGTTGGCAATCGTGTTCGATCCAAGGGAGGAGATCCAATTCCTCGTATCAAGAGCCCGCCACCAGTATCAAACATCAAGGCATCTCTTGATAGGCTGTGGCGGACTTGCATTTCAGGGGCCCTAAATTTTGACCTTATGGAGTGACCTTCGTAATATACTCTAATAACCTTATAATTTTTAGTTTAACCATTATTTTCTATTGAATTACACTATTATTAATATTAACATTTTTTTTAAATCTTTCACACACAGTAGACGAAAAAAAATTAACCAATGTGGACTAAAGTTGCTGCTGGGGGTTAGGGGCCCCTCCGGGATTAGGGACCCCCTCCGGAATTAGGGGCCCTCAAGCTTAAGCATGATTATTATTATTATAATCAAGGGGGAAGCGCTAAACCCGGAGGATTTTACAGCGCCTGGGGGGGGGGATGTGAAAGGCATTCAGGCTTAATTCGGGGAACTGGAGCACAGATCCAATTCCCTAAATCAAGAGCCCCTCACCAACATCAAGGAACCTTCCTTGAGGGGTTAAGCATGATTAGCTTCATAAGAATGGAGGAACGCTGAGTAGGCCATCTGGCCCATTCTAAGCAGGTTTTTCTCAATACACCACAAATACATTTTTAAAAAAGCCTCCAAAAGCACAGGGGTTAAATATACAATCATTTCGGCTTATAACTGCAAACCGAATTCAGTAATTTTATAAATCGAATTCGGTAATTTTGACCTACCTGCCATAGCAACACGTAGACCCAGCCTGGCATGACTTTGAAAAAAAAATTTAAATACTCATCAGGGCACTTTACCCACATCAAAAGTGGTCAGTATATTATGCCATACCCCAAACTTTAAAAACCTCAAACCTAAAGCCTTGAAATTCTGCAAAATTCCCGATAACCAGTAAGCGGAATTCCAATACAAGTGTTGATCAGTCTTGCCCGAACCTCCATATGCAGTTAGACGCCATGACCATCGATTCATGAACCACATGCTCATGAACCATCATGGCATATACCCACTAAAAGCTGCGTCAGATATTATCACTCGATGCCCCCCTAGATCAAAAATTCCTGCTAAAGAACGACCCTATTCTGAACCCCCTCCTTAATTCGCCCGTTCAAGGACGCCCCTATGTCTGCAATCTGCCCCTGCCAAGGACGCCCCCGTCATTGAACGCCCCCTGCTCATGAAGCCCCATGCTCATGAACCCCCTGCTCATGAACGCCCCCTGCTCATGAACGCCCATGCTCATAAACCCTCCATGCCAAGACGCCCCACTGCTCATGAACCCCCTGCTCATTTACGTACCCTGCTCAAGGACGCCCCCTGTCAAATATCCCCTGCGACAGAACCCCCCTGCTCAAGACGCCCCCTGCTCATGACGCCCGCCCCTGCTCATGAACGCCCCCTGCTCAAGGACGCCATTTGTTTTATAAAGTTTCTTTTTATACAACATAGGCGTGTGTTGGTCAGCTGAGACAGCGGGAACTACTGGACCCAACACTACGATCCAGCCATCAAGAACGCTTTTATTCTCATAAAAAATCTTTAACAGTTCTAACACAGCCATATAATTCACAGTATTTATAATAAAAAACACCAATCTATTTTTACAATTTTACAAGCACCTCGTGTACTTTAAAACACAGTAATTAGAATATGCTAGGCTATCGGATTAGCGGATTTTTACCTCGGATTCAATAAAGCCTAAAGTATTTGCACAAATATTTTCCATACAAAAAAATACAAAATTATAAATTTTTATTTCTGTATTCTCTATTCAGCCTCCTGGCTGTATGATATTCAGAAATGTTTGATATATTACAAGTGCTGGTAAATACATCACACTGGCCTCGTGGATATACCGCACTGGCCTCGTGGATACATCACATTGGCCTCGTGGATACATCACATTGGCCTCATGGATACGCCACACTGGTCTCGTGGATACATCACACTGGCCCGTGGATACATCACACTGGCCTCGTGGATATACCGACATGGCCCCGTGGATACATCACACTGGCCCCGTGGATACATCACACTGGCCCCGTGGATACATCACACTGGCCCCGTGGATACATCACACTGGCCCCGTGGATACATCACACTGGCCCCGTGGATACATCACACTGGCCTCGTGGATATACCGCACTGACTCCGTGGATATACCGCACTGGCTCCGTGGATATACCGCACTGGCTCCGTGGATACATCACATTGGCCTCGTGGATACATCACATTGGCCTCATGGATACGCCACACTGGTCTCGTGGATACATCACACTGGCCTCGTGGATACATCACACTGGCCTCGTGGATACATCACACTGGCCTCGTAGATACATCACTGCCCTCGTGGATACATCACACTGGCCTCGTGGATACATCACACTGGCCTCGTAGATACATCACACTGCCCTCGTGGATACATCACACTGGCCTCGTGGATACATCATACTGGCCTCGTGGATACATCACACTGGCCTCGTAGATACATCACGCTGGCCTCGTAGATACATCACACTGCCTTCGTGGATACATCACACTGGCCTCGTAGATACATCACACTGGCCTCGTAGATACATCACACTGGCTTCGTGGATACATCACACTGGCCTCGTGGATACGCCACACTGGTCTTGTGGATACATCACACTGGCCTCGTGGATACATCACACTGGCCTCGTAGATACATCACACTGCCCTCGTGGATACATCACACTGGCCTCGTGGATACATCACACTGGCCTCGTGGATACATCACACTGGCCTCGTAGATACATCACACTGGTCTCGTAGATACATCACACTGGCTTCGTGGATACATCACACTGGCCTCGTGGATACGCCACACTGGTCTTGTGGATACATCACACTGGCCTCGTGGATACATCACACTGGCCTCGTAGATACATCACACTGCCCTCGTGGATACATCACACTGGCCTCGTGGATACATCACACTGGCCTCGTGGATACATCACACTGGCCTCGTAGATACATCACGCTGGCCTCGTAGATACATCACACTGCCCTCGTGGATACATCACACTGGCCTCGTATATACATCACACTGGCCTCGTATATACATCACACTGGCCTCGTATATACATCACACTGGCCTCGTAGATACATCACACTGGCCTCGTAGATACATCACACTGGCCTCGTAGATACATCACACTGGCCTCGTAGATACATCACACTGGCCTCGTGGATACATCACACTGGTCTCGTGGATACATCACACTGGTCCCGTGGATACATCACTTACAGAACTTTTTTGTCAAAATATTTTTTTCAGGTGTGTTAATGACAATTCTGATATAATTTTTTTATTGACAATCACGTGAGTGTATGTGTGTGTGTGTGTGTGTGTGTGTGTTGTGTGTGTGTGTGTGTGTGTGTGTGTGTGTGTGTGTGTGTGTGTGTGTGTGTGTGTGAATACCACATAGCCAAACCATTACATCATATCCTACATAATGTTACAGCATCACAACGTTACTGCAGATACTGTACGACAGTGTCACTGCAGCTACTGCACCACAGTCACTGCAGCTACTGTACCACAGTCACTGCAGATACTGTACCACAGTCACTGCAGATACTGTACCACAGCGTCACTGCAGCTACTGTACCAGAGTCACTGCAGCTACTGTACCACAGCGTCACTGCAGCTACTGTACCACAGCGTCACTGCAGCTACTGTACCACAGTCACTGCAGCTACTGTTCCACAGTCACTGCAGCTACTGTACCACAGTCACTGCAGCTACTGTACCACAGTCACTGCAGCTACTGTACCACAGCGTCACTGCAGCTATTGTACCACAGAGTCACTGCAGCTACTGTACCACAGAATCACTGCAGCTACTGTACCACAGCGTTACTGCAGCTACTGTACCACAGCGTCACTGCAGCTACTGTACCACAGCGCCACTGCAACTACTGTACCACAGAGTCACTGCAGCTATTCCTCAGGACAGACGGTGACGGAGTAGAAGTGTAGGGGATCACTGACGAGGCCGCTTGAGGCGATACTGACCACTTCGATGAAATAAGCGCGACACTCCTCGAGGTCAGGCAGTGTGTACGTTGTTGTAGTAGTGGTCGCGCACACTTCGGACTCCGGATCGGCGTTTACCTCGTAGTAGCACACCTGCGGGAACCAACAGGTGTTAAAACGGTTATCTGTACTTCTAACGCTTGTGTGATGCGCTTACGTGGTTCAGAATACAGATGGTGCTTGCAAACACTAACAATTTTGTAAAGGATCTTTGATACATTTGCAATTCGAAAATTGCTTATGTTTGTCCCACATCTGTGGTTCAAGCACCTGCAATACACACCTGCGGTACAAATATCTGTAATACATATTTATGACAGAGCTCAAAACTAAATTTAAAATTCCTATCCAGTGTGGCAAATAATTTTAAGTTACCGATGTTATCAATTTTTGCCAACAATGATTATAGATGAATTTCACTTGACAAGAAGGCACGTTACCGTCTCCATCAGCTCCCTAAGACTGACCTTGAAGAGGAAGCTGCACGAGGGATTACTTATCTCCCAGGAGATGGTGATGCTGGTCTCTGTACGGTCCTCCTCCAGTCCGTTTTGTGGCGTCTGCGGCTCTGTGGGTGAAGCAAGTCATTCACTCTCTTACATCTAGTGCGAGTTTCCATAACGATTGACGCAACTCCGGGAAATCCCCAGCACCTATGCTATACCCGTGTGGGTCATTCAGCGTAGTGATGGAGGCTCGATCCTCCGTCTGGTAAATGCGGTCCAGTCTGTGATTACCTAGCTTATTGTTATCTGGTAAATGTTCATTATTTAGTCGAATTACTAACGCTTAACACATGTAACGCATGTAACACATTACAGAACATCATTATATGTGGCTAATAGTGACTGTAAATACTGCAAATGGTCTTGAGGAGACACTCTAAGACATTTTTTTCGCAATTGTACATGACATTAGCAAATTGTGTGTATGTGTGTGTGCCAGTAGTCCAATATTTGTGTAGTATGCATATGCTATGTACCATTATAGGCAGGCTCCCTGGCCAAGCCTTAGTCACGTGACCCCCGTTTTGCATCAAGCACATAGGCAATGCCGTACAGGTCTGTCTCTCTCTCTCTCTCTCTCTCTCTCTCTCTCTCTCTCTCTCTCCCCTCCCTCTCTCTCTCTCAACCAGACCTAGGGGGACAGGCAGACGTGGATAGGCCGGGCTCGCCACAGATACCAATACATCACCTCTAATAACCGTCCGTCAGTTGTATTCTTGCTACCATCACTTCCTAAACACGAACCCTATGTGTGTGTGTACTGACCGTCTTCAACAGTGCTGCTCTGAGTATAAGCAGCGATACCACCCAGTTCATCACCCAGGTAGTCAAACACAGGCGTCAGGTTGAAGGCCTGTACCGTGCAGGGTTCCAGGTAGCCCACCGCGTCATAGCAACTCTCCTGCAACACAACCATCACACAATACATTAAATATATTTTCGTGAGGATGCCATTAGGTTTGATCTAAGGAAGGATAGCTACAATTCCTTGGATCAAGAACCCTTCAGTGGTATCAAGTGCAATGACACTATTATATTAGCACTAATGCAATGCCACTAGTGTCATCCTGCTAGTGCATTAGTACTAGTCCAATAGCAGACTGTCAAATAGAACACTAGCAGACTATCATATAGAACACTAGCAGACTATCATATAGAACACTAGCAGACTATCATATAGAATAAAATAGGCTAACAGACTATCATACAGGATAGGCTAGCTGCACATTGAGGTTTTACGAAATTCTGTTCAACCAATGTTGATCACTCCAGAAAGCACAGCGCCTCAAACAGGAAGATTTTTATCAAAGTTTGCCTGTCCACACACCTCCTTACAGGTGGACTGATGGATGAACTTTCCATTGATGAGGAGGTCGTAGTGGTGAATAGGGTAGTGAGAGGGTGTGATGTTCCAGTGTAGTACCATACTCGTATCATAGACCGTCACCACCTCGAAGTTGTAGATCAGACCTGTCAAAAAGCATGCAATCGGTAAATCAGATCTCTCGTAACACAAGTTGTAGATCAGACCTTTAATAGCACACACAAGTAGTAGAGTATACCTGTAATAACACACAAATGGCAAATGATACTTCATTATTTTTCGTTTCCCAGGCGCTGTGTGACCCTCAGAGATTAAAAAAATTAAAGATATCGGGTTAGGCTTCAGAGGACATGCCTAACATGGGCCAATAGACTTACTGACGTGCTCCTCTGTTCTTATGTTCTTTATGAATAAACTAGGATATTAATAACCAAGGAGACTCACCGCCCAGAGTTCCCATATCGACAACACACTTGCCCGTGTTGGCTTGCCCATCGACCCCGATAAACTCGACGTAGGTGTAGCAGCAGGAGTTCTGGTACTCAACAAGCACTTTGGCTGTGGTACCAGGAGTCAGGTCATGTATCTTGAAGAGCGAACCCTCAGGAGTGGCTCTCACCTGGTACAGTCCTGTAAGCGTGAGGTGTTCGGAGTTTAACGTAACGAAATATACCATGCAATGTGTAGTTATCATATTCTGCATGATAACCGAATAGTGGCACCACCACCAGTGTGTGTCTACCCTGTTCTATATAATAGTTACATTGTTGCAACACTCTCAGTCTGTGGCTAACGGCCACATTGTGCTAACGGCCCCTAGTGTTTGTCTACACTGTTTTATATGATAGTTACGTTTTTGCAACACACCTAGTGTGTGGCTACACTAGTCTGTATGATAGTTACATTATGGGAAACCCCCTTAATATGCGGCTACGCTATTTCATATGTTAGTTACATTGCGGGAATGCAAATTAAGTAATGTTTTTCCTGGTACATTCCATCACACACGATGGGTTTCGTGTGGTTCTGATCTTAAAGTAACATTAACTCAGGTTAGAAAAAACAATGAAGACCCGCTTCATCAGACGTTAACAGAGCTGAAAGAAACAGTTGTGGCGAAAGACTGAAAGCAGTGGCCTTTCTTCATAAAGACTGAAAGCACTAGTGTTTATTCATAAAGACTTAAAGCACAAATCTCTCTCCATACAAACTGTAAACAATCTGTTTTGCAAATGATATTCCATGACACTTAAAAAATCAGAAAAAAAATATGTTTGAAGGCTATAGAAACTAGCTTTTGGATTACTCCATGATTGAACAAGGACTGTAAGGACGGTACCTGACTCGTGGTCCTGCATTTGAGCTTCCACGGTCCAGTTCATGAGGGTACACACGCCGTTATCACTATAACCGACACAGTCGGGCAGATTGAGCAACTGACAGCTGGGAGGGACAGAATCAGTTTCCTAAAGGAGAGAGAGAGAGATTAGTACGTAGTGGTAGTATATATATCTATACAAATAAAAAATTAGGATACCATGGGGTTATCTAGATAATTAAGACCCATGTCTCAGGAGACACTTGTCCTCTGTCCTTACGAAAGTTATAGTAACAAATCTATACATATATATATAACCCAGGAATATAGTAAATATATATAAGCCAGGCGTTCAAGCTAGGCGAGGCTTGACTGACCGGTGCTAGGACAATGAAGTGAACCACGGCGCTGTTGACCGAGTGAGTTTGTGTCTCGCTCTGAGCAGTGATAATAACAGTGCTGACCACGCCGGGGATGGCTGTCACCGGCACGGCGAACGACGCTGTCACCTCACACGAGTCGTTAGTCGGCAAGTGTACCCTGTGGGAGACAGATGTGCTGAGGAAGTTGTTGACAGTTGTTTCGATAGGTTTGACAGGTGCAGTTTATGGGAGACAGGTGTTTGAGCTGTGCTGAAAAGGCGAGCCTAATAGGGAATAAACAAAGGCAGCATCTGCTAGAAAAGGAACAACGACAGTACCTACTGTGGGAAGGAACAACGACAGTACCTACTGTGGGAAGGAACAACAACAGTACCTACTGTGGGAAGGAACAACGACAGTACCTACTGTGGGAAGGAACAACGACAGTACCTATGCCAAAAACAAGGCAAATACCACATCTAGTATCGGGCCCTTACTCAGACAGGATGGGACTTACACAGACGACAACAAGGAAATGAGTGAAATATTGAAATCCCAGTACGACTCTGTGTTTAGTGAACCACTAATCGGTCTGAGGATCGACGACCCAAATGATTTCTTCATGAATGAGCCTCAAAACTCCATAAATGTATGCCAGATTTCCGACATTACCCTAACTCCGATAGATTTCGAAAAAGCCATTGACAACATGCCTATGCACTCAGCCCCGGGCCCAGACTCGTGGAACTCTGTTTTCATTAAGAACTGCAAGAAACCCCTCTCGTGTGCCCTAAGTACACTATGGAGGAGGAGCTTGGACATGGGTGAAATTCCACAGTCACTTAAAACAACGGATATAGCCCCGCTCCATAAAGGTGGCAGCAAAGCATTAGCTAAGAACTATAGACAAATAGCTCTGACGTCCCACATCATAAAAATCTTTGAAAGAGTGCTAAGAAGCAGGATTGCAAATCACCTGGATTCCCAAAATCTGCACAATCCAGGGCAACATGGGTTCAGGGCAGGTCGCTCCTGCCTCTCACAACTACTGGATCACTATGACATGGCCTTGGATGCACTGGAAGAAAATCAGAATGCAGATGTAATATACACAGACTTTGCAAAAGCATTTGACAAATGCGATCATGGCGTAATAGCCCATAAAATACGTGCTAAAGGAATAACTGGGAAAGTGGGGAGATGGATCTTCAACTTCCTAACAAATCGAACACAAAGAGTAGTGGTCAACAGAGTTAAATCGGAGGCTGCCATAGTGAAGAGCTCTGTTCCACAAGGCACAGTACTCGCCCCCATCTTATTCCTTATCCTCATATCAGACATAAACAGAGATATACACCACAGCACCGTATCATCCTTTGCGGATGATACTAGGATCTGCATGAGGCTGTCATCTGCTGAGGACGCGGTTAACCTCCAAGAAGATATAAACAAAGTTTTCCAGTGGGCAACGGTAAACAATATGATGTTCAATGAGGACAAATTCCAACTACTCCGTTATGGAAAACTGGAGGAGATAATAACTAGAACAGAGTATACTACTGACTCCGGCCATACAATAGAGCGGAAAAATAATGTAAGGGACCTGGGAGTAGTAATGTCTGAGGATCTCACTTTCAAGGATCACAACAGTGCCACGATCGCACGTGCAAAGAAAATTATAGGATGGATAATGAGAACTTTCAAAACGAGAGATGCCAAGCCCATGATGATCCTTTTCAAATCACTTGTTCTCTCTAGGCTGGAATACTGCTGTACATTAACATCTCCATACAAAGCAGGTGAAATCGCAGATCTAGAGAGTGTACAGAGATCCTTTACTGCACGTATAAGTTCTGTCAAGCACCTTAACTACTGGGAACGCTTGAAAGCACTTGACTTGTACTCGTTGGAACGCAGGAGGGAGAGATATATCATAATCTACACTTGGAAAATCTTGGAAGGAATGGTCCCAAATCTGCACACAGAAATCACTCCCTACGAAAGTAAAAAGACTGGGCAGGCGATGCAAAATGCCGCCAATAAAAAGTAGGGGCGCCATTGGTACACTAAGAGAAAACACCATAAGTGTCCGGGGCCCAAAACTGTTCAACAGCCTCCCATCAAGCATTAGGGGAATTGCCAATAAACCCCTGGCTGCCTTCAAGAGAGAGCTGGACAGATACCTAAAGTCAGTGCCGGATCAGCCGGGCTGTGGCTCGTACGTCGGACTGCGTGCGGCCAGCAGTAACAGCCTAGTTGATCAGGCCCTGATCCATCGGGAGGCCTGGTCGTGGACCGGGCCGCGGGGGCGTTGATCCCCGGAATAACCTCCAGGTAACCTCCAGGTAACCTACTGTGGGAAGGAACAACAACAGTACCTACTGTGGGAAGGAACAACGACAGTACCTACTGTGGGAAGGAACAACAACAGTACCTACTGTGGGAAGGAACAACGACAGACCTACTGTGGAAAGGAACAACAACAGTACCTGCTGGGGCTGACATTCATCAGGAAGCCAAGGTCGTCAGTGCCGCTGATGGTGAAGTAGGAATCGAGACCGTAGTTGGTGACCACGAACTTGGCTGTAGCGGTCGTCCCGGGCTGGGCCGACAGGTCCTCCGAAGTGGCCCGCACCTCAACGCTAGTTGCAACCGGCGTTATCAAAACCGGTTGAACACGCTGATATTTTCGACCTGCAACACGCACACACACACACACACACACACACACACACACACACACACACAGCGACAGAGGTTATTAGATCATAGCAAGGAAAGGTTGAAAATAATAATAATAACAATAACAACAATAATAATAATAATAACAATAATAAAAATTTAGCCTGGATTTCTAAAAAAATCCCTGTGTGGGAATTCTGACAGCCGGATGCCCATATCCCTCACACCGCATCCGGACTCTGACAGCCGGATACCCATATCCCTCACACCACATCCGGACTCTGACAGCCGGATACCCATATCCCTCACACCACATCCGGACCCTGACAGCCGGATACTCATATCCCTCACACCACATCCGGACTGTGGCAGCCAGACGAGAGGAGCCGGAGCCGGCTCACCTGAGAGCACCTCGCCGGTTATGGCCACAAAGAAGGAGTCCTCAGGTAAGGGCTCCGTCCTGATGTATGTGTGCTCTTCCAGCTCTCCTGTGTATGGGATGACTCGAACCTCCGTTCCTGTCTGTCCAGGAGATCACAAGTGCCTCAGATAATAATATACAATAATAATAGTGTTAACAATAATGTTAACAATAATAATTATAACATGAATAATAATAATAATAATAATAATAACAGCAACAATAATAATAATAATTGATAATGTTAATAATAATAATAATAACAATAATAATAAATATTAATTAAGAAGGAGAATAATTCTAGTACTCGCTAAACTGCAAAGTAACTTTACCTTGTCAATAAAGTAGACAGTGTCAAAGACGGTGACATAACTTTCTAGGTAACCCACGAGTGTCAGATCCAGGTAGTAGACAGTGTCTGCGGGTGACAAATGGGTGACATGGGTGACGGACGGCTGCATACTGCAACAACATCTCATTTGGCAAATATGTGGATTACTGAGGCGAATTAATGGTGATAATGGAGCAGTGTGGGCGTGTACTGACCTATGAGTGGGCGTCCGTTTGCCTGTCTGTAGTGTGGGTGTGGGGGAGATGGGTCGAGGATAGAGAACCCGGCGAGGAAGTCTAATGGAGAGGTGGCGAGGATGGTGACAGCGTAGACATCGGGGTACGAGGTGGATATACTCCATTCACCGTAGACAGGAGCCGTGAAACGAACCGCCTTAAAGGTATTTGTGTGAGATACAACTTCCACATTGTCCGTCGCGTCCAGGGCCTCTTTGTCCGTTAGGTCGTATGCAGTACCTGAGGGTAAGGACAAAAGCACCTGAGGATAGGACATTACCATCTGAGGATAGAAGCAATGCCGTGTCTGACGACACAGTCAACAGCTGACCAGCAGTGTTTGACTGAGACCGCTTTACTCAGGAAGGTTGGCCCCCTCAAGGAAGGTTCCTTGATGTTGGTGAGGGGCTCTTGATTTAGGAAATTGGATCTGTGCTCCAGTTCCCCGAATTAAGCCTGAATGCCTTCCACACCCCCCCCTTCCCCAGGCGCTGTATAATCCTCCGGGTTTAGCGCTTCCCCTTGATTATAATAATAATCAGGAAGGTTGGGTTAGGTAAGATTCGTCAGGAAGCAGGACAAGTGTCTCCTGACGCAGGTCTTAGTCACATGATGACCCGCCGCTGGAGCTTTTGGTCATCTGACCGAGGCCTTCCGCTGGCTTACCTGTCCACCCCTTTAAAATTATGGTTATGATTATAAGTATTTAATCTTACTCAGGAAGAATAATATTTTGTTAAAAGATTTGTGGCGTTCCTGTCTAGAGTTGCTTTAATGTGTCGATGAGTGAGTGTGTGTTTATCTCTCTACCTATTTATAGTTGCTGGGGTTCAGTTGCAGCTCCTGGTCCCACCTTGGTATGTGATATACTGAGACTTCCTCCAATATCAGCTCATACAAGATGTCCCGTTTCTAACTGGGACAGATGATGTCCAGTCGATTACCTACCGCTAGCATCAGTGATGACGGCAGTGATGATCTCACCGGTGATGCGCACCTCCAGGTCCACCACGGAGTCATCAACAGCTACTGTCTTCACTAGTGACCCCAAGGCCTCTACCACGTTCAGGAGAGTCACCTGCAACCAGCATCACGTGTTTCAACTCACTGAATGAGGGAGGAGAGTGTGACCTCGTAGGTGACCTCGCAGGTGACCTTGCAACCCTGATGTATCCTACCATTACTTAATGATGTTTGCTCCTTTCTAGTGTAACTACCACAATGTACTGATATAACACGATTGCAAACAAACCATGTGTTCAATCTATCAAGACTGATAGACTGAACTCATCGATTCCAGGCTGAGGGACTGATTACCTCAGTCTTCACCTCATCCTTCACCGTTCGTCTCTGTAATGGACTGAAGAAGCCACTGGCTGGCGATACGTTTCCTCATTAAAAAGATTCCCAAATGTTGCGCAATTGTCTCATTTCTAAATTATTACAGCAAATATATCAATATTGTTTTCCCAACGAGATGACTAACAACATAAGAATAGTCACCGTGGATGTCTCGATGCCACTGCCGATGATGTTAACGATGTCATTGACGTCAAATTTATCTGTACTGATGAGGAGGCCTCCCGTCTCGTCTGCCAGTCGCTGGTACTCTGCCACCCCTGTGTTAACATCGCCCACCTTGCCTCGCCGCCCACCCTCGCCACCCACGCCCGTGTCCTCGTCACCATTGCTCCTCTTTCTGAATATGTCGCTCAGAATCACCGTCACCTGCAAGGTGTTTTAATAAACAGTGATCAGTGAGCAGGTAAACCCATCATTGTCGGTAGGTAAAACGTGAAGTTTTAGATAATTAGCAAATCTGCTCATCCTCGCAACTCATTCTACATGGAGACACCTACACATATCCTATGACAGGAGAAGGAGAAGGTTGAGGAGGCGGAAGAAGAGGAGGTGGGAGTAAAAGGTGGTGAAGGAACAGGCTGAAATACTCGTAGCTCAGTTGGTATCGCACTCAACTCATACACTGATGTCCATGGATCGATCCCCGGTACGGGTGGAAACTATGAGGCGTATTTCTTTAAGACACCTGCTGTCCCTGTTCAACTATCAGTAAATAGGTACCTGTGTGCTAGCAGATTGGTGTGGGTCGCATCCTGGGGACAAAATTAACCTAATTTGCCCGAAATGCTCTGCATAACAAAGGTCTTTCTATATAGTATGTCACTAATGTCAGCTAGGCTGGTATACGTCGTACATGTAATTGTAGAAATAAAGATAATTATTATTAAGAGAGAAATAAAGTTCGACATAGCATAATTTAGTGTGCTGCTGACCTTGTTATTTTGTTGCTGTGCCAAGGAGATCAGACCTTCCATGAGCTGGCCGTCCTTGGCGGAGGCGTCAGTGAAGCAGAATATGTCACCATAGGCCGGAGTCCCCGTCAGCGCCAGCTGCGACACACTCATTGTTAGTGCTAGTTGAAGGGATTGAGCTATAGCTCTTGAACCCCACTCTTTCTAAAGCGTGTATTGTGTACTGAGCTTTTAATACATCTCGCCCTAATACTACATTCCACACTAGATGGTGGGCGAAACGTATCGTAAATAAAGATAGCCAGTTGTTGACAGGCGCTTAATGTTTGTTGAAATTAAAGAAATACTTGAATGAGGGAAGAATGTAAAGTAATGAACGAGGCGGGAGGTGATGGTAGTGTAATAGTGAGGGAGGTGCTGGTGATGGTGTATTGAGGAAGATGTGAGGTTGAAGGAGTAATGGAGGTGGGTAAGCAGGTACCTGGAGGCCACTCCAGAACATCTCAGGTTCGTCCCCACCTCCGGAGGCATACAAGGCGTTGACGGCGTCCATAAACTCTGAAGAGTTGCTGGTCGTCAGAAGAGGACCCACATCTGTAGAGGCGGTACTGCAGGTTACGTGTTGTATTAATGTTGGTTGAATTACCGACAATATGTTAACTAACAAGTTACATGTTGTTACGCACATGTCCGCACTCTTCTGTGCTAACTTGTGCTCATATACACTGATCTACAAACACAATACATATCTACTGACCTACACACACAATACATATATACTGACCTACATACACAATACATACATATATATATATATATATATATATATATATATATATATATATATATATATATATATATATATATATATATATATATATATATATGTCGTGCCGAATAGGCAGAACTTGCGATCTTGCTTAAATAGCAACGTTCATCTTGCCATATAGGACAAGTGAAAATTTGTGTATGCAATAATTTCGCCAAAATCATTCTGAACCTAACGAAAAAAATATATTTGATTGTGTTTGTTTAGTATTAAATTACTGTAAACGTATTTAAAATATATTTAGTTGGATTAGGCTAAAATAAATTGCACTTGTTATAATAAGGTTAGGTAAGTTTTCTAAGACTCTTTTGGTGCAAAATTAAAAATTTTTACATTAACATTAATGAAAAAAATATATCTTTAAACGTATAAGATAAAATTTTAGAAAGGACTTAATTTTAAGTGAGTTCTTGCTAATTGGCCAGTTTTACATATTCGGCACGACATATATATATATATATATATATATATATATATATATATATATATATATACTGACCTACACACAGTACATATATACTGACCTACACACACAATACATATATACTGGCCTACACACACAATATATGTATACTGACCTACACACACAACACATATACACTGACCTATACTCAGATAATCTAGGGATATCCTGTCAAATTTTGCACATTTCTGGCAAGACAGCTATTGCATGAATGGTGGTGAATGTGTTCTTCTCTTGGAGGTTACCCTACCTTGGTAGGATGAACTGGGTGGGGGATGACCTAGAGGTGAGTGTGATCTGGGGAAGGAACTGACCTGGGTCGTTGAAAGGTACCAAGATGTATAACTCAGGGTTGGAGTTGGCCACGATCTCAGCCACTTGTTCCTGTACAGCGTCGATATCATCTCCCATTGAACCTGCAGCATCACGCCTTAGTTAGCTAAATTAGTTAAACTAGCTAATTAGCTAGTTAGGATGACAGGTGGCTAGTTAATTGCACATTTCGTTGTTAATTTCTTATTTAGTTATATAATAAAATAATTAAATTACTAAATTAAGCAGTTAATTACTAGTTACGTAACCCATTTATAAAAGGCATTTCAGTATATATAAGTAATTTATTTTCAAAATTTATATATATATATATATATATATATATATATATATATATATATATATATATATATATATTTATTTATTATTAACACACTGGCCTATTCCCACCAAGGCAGGGTGGCCCGAAAAAGAAAAACTTTCACCATCATTTACTCCATCACTGTCTTGCCAGAAGGGTGCTTTACACTACAGTTTTTAAACTGCAACATTAACACCCCTCCTTCAGAGTGCAGGCACTGTACTTCCCATCTCCAGGACTCAAGTCCGACCTGCCGGTTTCCCTGAACCCCTTCATAAATGTTACTTTGCTCACACTCCAACAGCACGTCAAGTATTAAAAACCATTTGTCTCCATTCACTCCTATCAAACACGCTCACGCATGCCTGCTGGAAGTCCAAGCCCCTCGCACACAAAACCTCTTTTACCCCCTCCCTCCAACCTTTACATTATATATATATAATATATATATATATATATATATATATATATATATAAATATATATATATATAATATATATATGAATATTATTATATATATAAATACTGAAATGCCTTATAAATGGAGAGAGAGAGAGAGAGAGAGAGAGAGAGAGAGAGATACTAACCTGTAGTGTCGATGCAGATAGAGAGAGCAGAACCCTGGTATAAGTCGAACAGTCGACGATACATGTCGACACCGATGACATCCAGCACTTGCTTCAGGTAGTAGTCTGTTGCCTGCACGGACGGTACGTACACGTCACCTTCACTTTGCGTATTTAAGTGTGCACACCCGTGCGTTTGTGCACGTTAATGTTTAAATTCCGAGTTAAGATACGTGAATTATATCACTATTCTACTTATATTTTACGAAATATATTTTAATATACTTATATTTTAAGTAGTATATCTTTACTGTACTTCTATTTTAAGTAGTGTGCCACTAATCCACCTAAAAGTAATTTGTCTAATAGCATAAGTAACTGGGATGTACACTCGTCAGTGGATGTATATATACACCCATCAATTGGTGTATATACACCCATCTTTGGGTGTAGTACTAGCCTGCAGGGCGAGGTTGACAGCGGTGAGGTGTAGGTCGTAATGGGGTGAGAAACACGGGTAGGCTGTGTCCTTGTTGATGCCTCCCACTGCAGGCAGCACTCTGCTAGTGTCCAGCACGCCGCCGTGGCTACACTTGCCGCCTGCAACACCCAGAAACACAGGCAACACCATGGTTATACCTCGCAACATACACAGGATTTAAGTTACAAATTATGGAGAGAGATGACTCACATACACATCAACTAACTCATAATTTGTTGAGGGAGAAAATTCAGAACGACATTTCGTTCTATCCTGGACGTTTATCAATGCACAATGGTCCGAAACTGACCGAAAAGTTGTCTAGAATTTCCTCTCCGAATCATGAGTTAGTTGTCAATTGTTACAGACAGGATATTGTGGATGTTGTTCTTTATTAATATACACACATCTGGTCTCTTCAAAAGGGGTATTTAAATGAGGAACTCCCGACAACTGTCAAGAAATGTCAAGTTGTAGAACGATGTTATGTTGGGAACGTTTCTCTCTCTAGAGCGAAACGTCGTCCCAACAAAAGCTTGTTCTGCAGGAATGGTGTTGAGAACTAACCTGTGTCTGGCTTGGAAATGAGGTAGGAGGAAGCAATGTCGTCAGGGTAGGTGTAATACCCACTGCTCAGCCCAGCTCCTTCAATGACGTTCCCGGACAGCCCTACAGATGCCATAGTGTTAGTGGGATAGTATAGACGGGTACAATGTGTAATGATGCAGGAAGGCACACTGTTAGAGTGGAACCTTTGAGGCAGAGTACACTGGGTGAGGTTACAGAGGGGTACACTACACTGTGATGACACACAGGATACACTACATTATATAATGGTGCACGAGGCTACACTTAACTGTGTGATGTTACATGGCTTGCATTGTGTGACGGTACAACGAGAGGTACACTACCTTTATATCGTCACAAGTGGTACATACATCTTCTTCCCCAGCTAATCCATCTAGAGTATTGCCAGGAATACCCAACTCCTCCAGAATAGACTCGTGTCCCTGTTCTATCCAGGTGGAGTGGGAATAGAACTTTTGGATAGAGTGGAGGGTGGTGCCGAGCAGGCTGCGAGCGGCAGGATAAGCTTCTTCACTCAAGATAGCTGTCATGATCTGAGGATAGCGAGTAGTGAGCCTAGCCTGTACCTGTGCCAGCTGTTCCCCATCACCTTGGATAGCCGGGTCATACCTGTGAGATAAGAACCAGAGTCTTGGTAAGGCAGGATCCATACATAGTGTTAAGAAGAGATATGATAAAACTGATGAAGCAAGGGCCAAGGGTTGTGAATCCACCCCTGAAACCACAAACAGGTAAGTACAAGTAGGGCAACAACAGATGGAAGGATCAATACAAACACAACGCTGACAGTAGAACGGGAAATATTAAAAGTGACAGATACCCTAACGGAAAAATATCTGTACTCTTGGGTTTGCTAGAGGTCGAGTAGATACTTTAATGGACAGAGATCAGACAGACAGGACATACATCGGAAAGGAACCAGTCTTGACACTGACAACAACAGCGTTTACATACAGAAACACGGACAGGTAGACCGGTCAATATGGATATATGTTGCCTGAACTGGGCAGTGAAACCAGCCTGGATATTTAGCTAGAAATCTATGAACAGATAGATTGGCTAACATAAATCTCGGTTGAACTTGAGTGTGGAATTAGTCTGAATATTGGAAGACGATGATATAATTCATATAGATAGATTTACCGACGGAGATATATTTTATGCTGAGAATAAAAATGCACACTACCGTGACTGGAACAATACATAAATCACCCGCACAGAATTAGTGGTCCAAATCAGACCATAACGTCATCATAAATTTCATTCTTATATGTGCGGGTTATCTGTGTATATATTTTCAGTACTGAGACAAAAATTAGTTTGGACAATGGAGACGACTTTAGATTAGATCAACATAACTACGAACATAGATGTATTACCTGTACTGGGATGAAGAATCTGCCTGAATATTAGCGTCAACAATGGAATTGACAGCTTTGATAAAACGGGTCGGGGAGGATATGTCTCCGTAGTAAGCGTGGAAGAGCTGAGTGAGAGTAGCATCCTCAGGTAGGAAGAAGTCTGGTCTACCTCCTGGTGGGTAGGCTAGGAAGAAGGCCCGGATGTTCTGCCGGATAGCTTCTCTAGTGATCCACTCGTGGTCCCGGGTTACCCCAGCCGCCTGTAGAGAGAATCAGTCACGATGTTGACCCGAGGGAAGAGTAAAATGGAGCGTCACTCGTCCAGTGAGGAACATACGGACATAATGACTATAGATTACAACCCAGATTATTCACACACCACTGTTGCAGCGTATATCTGTATACACTATTTAGTGTTTCTCAGTAATTAACGTTTAATGTTAGGGTCGTGATATTGGTCTGTCATTGTCTCAGCTGGAAATAATGACCATGTTATAATAACTCATATTATTTTCTTTATTATTTACCATTTTCATAATACTGTTGTATAATAGGTTCGATAATTTGTAATATAAAATGAACAAAGGAAATACTTGTCACTACCGTACATTAATTACTTGCATAGCGAGCAGAAAGCATGGATATGATTTAACAAACTGCCAGGTGCAGCCTTCCAGACCCCGACACTCGCACAGAGGTCACTTGGAATTGCTGCCAACCAGGGAAAGTATACGAGCGACTGCGTTGTCTCCATTAACATAGCCTGACACAAATATGTTTTTACACTATCATTTTTGGGGCTTAATATTTCTGAGTGCTGTCTTGTTTTTGCAGTTTATGTCATTGTGTGGATTTTGTCGGTTTACCTACAATGTCGAATACAGCCTCAGAAAGAGAGAGGGTTGTAACTATGAACATTGTTCGGAGCATCCGCAAAACACTATTTAACTTTTATGAACATGTATCTTACATTTATGTCTTTGTGGACCTTATGTATCGTGTCATGCTTGAATATATTCAAGCATGACGCGGTGTCAGCACTAAATCGTGTTCTACTTTGGAAGCAAAACTTTTGTGTAATGACTGGTAACGTGGTGTTTCGATGCATCTGTCCTGTGTGAACTTAGACTGTGTGCTTAAGTGGAGTGCATTATATACATCATGTTGGTGTCTACGCACTATTGTGTAGATTTAGTTCTGACTTAATGATATCCGTACAAACAAGAACTGTGTGGACTTCGGATCATTTGCTAGTGAACTGCATACACACACACACACACACACACACACACCACACACACACACACAGAAGAATATGCACGATAAAGCTCATGGAGCAGGGAGAGTAACCCAGTAGCGACCAGTGAAGAGGCGGAGCCAAAAGCTGTGAATCGACCCCTGCAACCACAACTAGGTGAGTACACACACACGCACGAAATGTGGTTGTTCCCACATCACCTTATCGCTCAATGATAAATACTGGTATAAGGCTCACACACCTGTCAACTCCTTTAATACCTTACACCTTAACGAGAACTTCAGCATAAAAATGATGATAAACGATACCATAGAATAGAAGTTATTGAGGTCTTAATGACAGCTCCAGGAAGATGGTACCGAGGTCTGGTCATTGATGAGCTTACGAAAAACAATGGACCCAGTATTGACACCTGTGGAACGCCGCTTGTGACTGGTCCCCATTCTGAATTAGCCCCATTACGTAAACTTTCTGTTACTTATCAGTTATTCGTGTTTAAAATTCATTAGTTCAATTTTCATTCAGTACCAAATGTTTAATTTTTTCAACAGTCTCCTGTGTAGTATTGTCAGAAAGTAAACTGAGGTCCAGGTAAACAACGTAATATTCTTTATTAGTTCACCGTCTAAAACACCTCTCTGGAGAAAACTGGTAAATTTACTAGGCTTAAAAACGGCCTTGCGCTAGAGTTCGTCACGGCCACGCTAGCTGGAGATTCGTCTGTAAAAACTTGCATTTGTGGTCACAGTGGTGCCTATGCTAACCTTCCTATGGTGTAGAAATATACCTAGTTGGACGAATCTTATTGTGGCTAGCTGGTCCAGTGGCTAACGCGACGTTTTTTAGTTTAATATGTTTATTATGCACCCCATACCCATCCTGTGGGCGGTAGTCAAAAGATTACAAAGGTACATAATGGGTTCAGGGACTGGATCCCAAAGTTATGATAGCTGAACTAGTTACAAAGGTAATGAACTTCAGGTAGATCTGGTCACAATCATGGCAAGTTACAGAGGTAATGAATCAGCCTCACTCCTATACATGGTTACAGTCATGAACAAATTACAAAGTAATGAACCACTGATACGTCCACACCTGGTCACAATTGTAATGAGTTGTAAATACAAATATTAAGTGGGTCATACACCCACACTAGCGGGCGCGCACACACTTACACACACGAGGGCGCACGCACGGACATATGCACACGAGCATACACACAAGCACGCACACCCACACACACACGCACACACACACCCACACCCACACACACACCCACACACCCACATCCACACACACGCACACACACCCGCACACACACCCCGCACACACACCCGCACACACACCCGCACACACACCCGCACACACACCCGCACACACACCCGCACACACACCCGCACACACACCCGCACACACACACACACACACACACACACACACACACACACACACACACACATGGTAATGCATTACAGCTAGCAAAGTCAGGGTATTTCTCCAGAATGGTCTGTAATATACCACTGTGGATAAAATACTTTGCCATTTCTTGAACATTTCTGAGTGAGTTGTTTCTAAATTCATTAATTTGATCACACTCCAGTACATAATGACGCAGGGTGTGACAATAGTCCATCTGGCAAAGTTTACGTTTCGTTTTGTCTACATCTGGTGGTGGTGATTTAACCTGCCATAGATACTTGTAACCCAGCTGGAGCCGGGCAGTAGTGACATCCAAGAGTGTGCTTATCTTTTTGGATGCACCATAAACATGTGGCTCCTCCTGCATGATGGAATGATGATAGATGGACTGACTTGTGTCAATCTCCCTAAGTCTTAAGTCAATAAAGTTCATTTGAAGTTCTTTTCGTATTATTGTTCTCAAACTGCTAACTGACAACCCAATATTGTAATCTACTCCATCTTTGAAAGCATACAGCTTAGCCAATTTATCAGTTCTATCATGCATCTGAAGACCAATGTGAGATGGAATCCACAGCATGTGCACTCTGACTCCACTGTCCACAATCTTACCATACCTGTGTCTGGCTTCTGACACAAGCATGCCACAATTTATACTTAATGAGTTGAGAGCATTTATGGATGACAAAGAATCAGTTAAAATTAAAGTGTCAACCTTAGATACATGGACGCATTTGAGTGCAAGGAGTATGGCAAACAGTTCTGTTTGAAGGGTAGAGGCCCAGTTATTGATGCGTGCTCCAATTTCTTTACGAGAGCCATCACTCTGTATGACAACAGCAGCACTACCAGCTGCACCAGTGGACTGGTGAACAGAACCATCAACGTAAATAATTTGTGAAAGAGTGTTCTGTGTGACTAAGTTATCAATACAGCTTAAGGCATCATGTTTGGCTTCAAGACGAAGCTTTGGTTGTGATTTAAGAAGAGTTTTGGGGTGAAATGGAGGAATGGTAGTTTGGAATGGGGTAATATCCCATGGAGCAGGGAAATATCTCTGTTGTCTAACTTGACATAGATCATGTAGTTGGTTCATGCGGAGGTCGGTTCCAGTTTTTTCGATCCATCTGGAAGGATGTTCACCAGTGCTGAGGAAAGTTTGAAGGGCTTCTGTGCAGGGGTTTGAATGGGCTAATCTAAGCATATTAACCCCAATAAGGATATTTCTTTCAGTAACACGATCTCTAATGCTTTGAATATTAAGTTCTTTCCGCATATTTAGAATTTTGGCAGTACGAGGGCATCCTAGGATGATCCTCATTGCTTCGTCTTGCAGTTTTTCCAGCCCTCCAAACTTCCAGTCAGACACGAGTGCAAGTAGTGGCGCTGCATAATCAACCAATGATCTAATATAAGCAAGATACATCATTTTCACAATTTAACATTAGCTCCATACCTGGGATGAAAACCTGCCACAACTCTAAGTGCTCTCAGCCTTTCTTTGTATTGGCGACAAAGTCTCGTTACAACAGCTCCAAGTAGTGGAACCTCAAAGCCTCGATTCCTGTATCTGCTTACATATTCTAGAAGAGACCCATCATGCAACTGGATCTGACGAACTGTGCCTTTGTGTCGAGGAGGACGCCTGTTGAGTATCTTTGTTTTATCCCCTGAGATTATTAACCCCAGGTCCTGACACGAGGCTAGTACATGATTAAGAATGTTTTGGGTGTTGGAGAATCCGGTGGTGTGAATCATTATGTCATCAGCAAAACTAACCATATAATGATGAGGCTGGCTAGGCATGGCATTAAAGCATTAATCAGAATATTGAAAAGGATGGGACTAAGCACACCTCCCTGTGGGGTTCCTAATTCAAAATCTTTAGTTACACTTCTATGTCCCTGGAACAACACAGACGACTTTCTGTTGGACAGGTAACCTTTAATCCAGCGGAGAAACCATCCTCCAACATCCATTCTGGCAAGTTCACTAATGATTACATGTCGGTTGGCTACATCAAAAGCGGATTTAAGGTCAAGGAAGGTAGTGTATGAGCTGTCAGTGTGCAGAGTGAGAAAGGTGGTAATGCAATGATGCACACTCCTTCCATGCATGAAGCCATGCAACCGGGGAGACAAGAATTGCTTAATTCTGTGCATAAGACGATTAAGAATCATCCTTTCGAATGTTTTACACAAGCAGCTAGTAAGGGATATTGGGCGAAATGAGTTTTAACGCGACGGTCTGGAGTTTTGAGACTCTCTGACCGCGGGTTCAAATCCCGCCCGTTTTATGGTTTCAAAAACGGCCCCTTGTGAATCCATGTTATGAGTCATTAATCAAATAATTGTCATCAATTTGACTTCTTATTGTCTCCACTATTATTGATTCTAATAATTTCCCACAATTGAGGACAGGCTGATTGGCTGGTAATTTGATGATAGGGACCAATCCAAAGATTGAAGTGGTCATCTTCTGCATTTCCAGCGTAATAAGTGTTTGTAGTAATCGACTGAGGAGACTAGCTAAAGGCTCACGATGTTCCTAATTGCATTTTTAGACTCGTCAAAAAAATGTGGACGCATCGATTAATTTTGCTTTAATGGGTCAGCTTGTTTGAGAACCATGTCTCGCAGATAAGACATCACGTATCTAAATGCCTCTCTTTTTACCCATAAAATATTCATCTATTTAGATTCTGTTTATTTGATCTAATTGTTCAGCTACGATAGCTTGTACAAGGCTCTAGAATAACAAAATCTTAACGAAATGGACTAACGTCTCGATGAATATAACAACGGATACTATGTAAGAGAACGCAAGAAGTAAACATTACCTCATTAGGACACAGGATATTAGCTATGTCTGGATCACTGGTGTTGAGGCGAGTGGCCAGGAAGGCCTGGCACTTCCCCGTCCACAACACTAACAGCACCACCACGAAACGCTTCGCTCCCACCGCCATCTCCAAGAGTGGGGAAAAAACTGCTTTCTTCCTTGGGTTAGGTTAGGTAAAGTTTTTCAGGAAACAGGACAAGTATTTCCTGACGCGGGTCTTCCATCGGCTGCCCCTCGACAGCCTTATATATGTGAACCTCGCGGCGCCAGGCGACACTGGTCCACTAGCGCTGGCGGCCGTATGATGCAGCCAGTCAGCACACACAATACATACAGAAAATTATACTGTATTTTTTAGTCTCTGACAAATATAACCACCGAGGTAAATGCATTCAAGGCAATGTGATGAATCAAATTTATATACTACACTAAAGCTTTCAATCACAGGCATATACAATAATTGTGATCCCTTGTAGACTATATTTATTCACAGTTCCACGGTTACAAAGACAATTCTGTGTACACAAACAGGTCTGAGTGCACACAAACAATTCTTCGTGTATGCACACAGCTCCATGTGTACACATACAACCCTATGCGTACATATTGAACTGCGTGGTTGGCCCTGGGAATCAATCAAGATCTGTCACCTGTCGCTGTCTTTACCCTTCTAAGATAACCATTATCACTTCTATAAGAATTTTCTCAGAAACTTAGAACCTGAGAAACTGGAGCAATAATGCCTATCCCTCAGTAAGCTAAATGTGAAGCGAAGTTAAAAGATTCACAATGCACAATAAGCTCTTTATTAGAACTGTTTCGCTCTATGTAGAGCTTTATCGTAGTTCGATAAATCTCTACTCAGAGGAAACGTTGCCCTTACAAAACGTGTTTTGAACGCCTGTACGTTTTTCTTCTCTATCTGGACCTATATGCTACGTATAGTGAGAGTTCTCGGAGTAAACTGCGTGGTTTACAGCCTTGGGCTACACTGGTGGAGTGTTCCGCCAACAACCAAAAGGAAGAGGGTTCAAACCCGGGTGAGGTGACACTTGTGAGCAGTCTCCTAATTAGCACCTGCTGCCATGGGTCACATATAGCACAATATACACTCTAGGTATTAGACTGCTCTGAGTCGACTGTTATGTTGCAGCTGTTATTCTTCGACTGCTGTTTCGACTTTTATGGGTTGCATCCTGGGGAGGGACCAATAGCAGCCTCTAAGGAAGTATGTCACACTGCTGGACATTCCAGGGTTGTCCTGGAGCCAGAGGTCCCCAGACTCTTTAATTCATCGACTCCTTCATGAAATTTCAGATTGTTCATCGACTCCAAACATTTATTATATATAAATAATTTAATAAATAGCAATTTATAGTACTACTACTACTAATAATAATAATTTCATATAAAATAGGTAATATTTAAATTGTGAAAATGTAAGATTTAACATAACTCTTTTTTACTGAAATTGTTGAATAGAAATGAACAGGAATACTACAAGAGAGATGAGAGAGGGACAAGAGAGATGAGAGAGGGACAAGAGAGATGAGAGAGGGACAAGAGATCTGAAAGATCAAGGGAGGATGGACGGTCACAGATGACAAAGTAGGGGAGAGCGAGTCAGTGCGAAATCCCCAGATATTTACTGACCCCCTTTTGACCCCCAACCATTTATAGACCACCTTCATTAGTCCCATCAACCCTTAGGGGTCTATATTGACCACTTTGGGGATCCCTGTCCTGGAGTATATCATATTCCTGGGGTTATTACTCCCCTTGAGTTAATAATTAACAAACATTCCACTCTTCAGACCATTATTCAATAGTGATGAGGGCTAATTAATCGAATTACTTCACCATGATAGTGTTAGTCACTATACTATTGAGACATATACTGTGTAATGGTGGTAGACACTAACATAACGATACTACATATACAATTATTGGTACTAGACACTAATATTATGGTACTAGGCACAATATTATGGTGTCAGACATCATATGGCGTTAAACACTATATTACGCCCCTGAGTCGCTGTATAACCTCTGACACGAAAAGAGTGAGAGATAAATGTTTAAAAAATGAGGAAGATAGTGCATTGCTTTAGAAGGAAATTTCTCAGAGTTGCTAGAGCGTTTGAGAGTGCTTGCAGGTGTTGTCACGAGCAGTTGTCACAAGCAGGTGTTGTCAGAGGTGGAGGTCGTTAGATAGTAGTACACAAGGAGAAAGAAAACGCAGGGTATAGGCAGTATTTTTTATTCCTGTCAACAATAATACACTAGTAAGAGTATTTTATAATATCAAGTCTTATAGCTTGGTGTAAGCACCATCCACCCACACGATGGTATACAAACACTCTGTTGTTACTCAAGGCTGATACCATAAAACATGTTACTGTTGGTAAAGGAAAATATGGCGAAGGTGAGTCTGCTGTAATGTAGAAATAAGACCATTGAGGCACTGAAGAGTTCTGGGTTTCCCTGTCACACACACACGGCTTCGTACAAGCCGCCATCAATGTCTAAGTTCGCCAGACACCCCTTGGCACCCAGAACCGTTTGCTTTTATAGCATTAGACAGATTCTCTTAAGAAGTTAGAAGTTTAGATATTTTCAGTCTTAGTAGCACTAGCGTCCACCGGGTATACACTCTCTGGTTACATTATAACGTCTGATGATATTGTTGTTCGTCTGGGGAAATATCTCCTGATGCAGGGGATGCCGAACTCGGAGGTTAAGCAACGCTAGCCTATCGGTTCGGGTTTTCCACCCTTGAAAAAATATAACACTAGTGTGCTGTAGCAGTAGAAACCTCGTTATACAACCAATGAGTCCTGGACGAATAACTTTTAAAAAATCCCATGAATAAAATCGTGTAAAAACATGGGTCTGTCGGGAGACGGGTTGTGTGGCTATTTCTTTACCCTATCCCCCAAAACTGAGTGTAAGAGATACCTGAGTTTTCCCAAAAGGTCACTTTTGGGCGGCTCTCGTCAGGAAGAGCGAGGATTTCCCTTTCCCCTGAGATGAGGATCGAGCTGCTAACGTTAAAGTTAAAAATTTACAATTGCAATCTGTCATTACCAAAATTTCCCTGCTAGGTGCCTGTTTCAGTAAGAAAATAACCCTTTGTTACGTTGTCTACGTCTCATAAAATTTTTCGTAGCTTTGTCTTGTTAAAGGGTTTTATTCATACTCATGGAGACTCTTGGTATCGCATGTTTGGGATAAAGCTGCATCGCTTACTACTAAAACACATAGTCGATGGTCCCACTGGTAATGGAGGGGGCGGGCTTCGATCACCCGATACAGCGTCAAACCCCATCTTTCCCCACACAGTTACAAAACTTTTTTTTTACGCAATGTCGGTATTTATATAAAATTTTTGATTTTTTTAAAAAAGATTTAGGTTTAAAAGTCTTATATTGATAATACCTTAGAAAAGGGGGGAGGGACCTGATTTGGTGGCTTGTTACGTTTCTCATGTGATGACGGAAAACTTTTGGTTCCGGGACTTGGTAAAAGCAATGAATTTAGTCTTGGCTATTTGGAGCAACGCCCGGAGCCCCGCCCTGGAGCCACGCCCTGGAGCCCGCCCGGGACCTGCCTAGAGCCAAGCCCTGGAGCCCAAACCTGGAGTCAGCTTGGAGCATGTCCTGGAGCCCCATCCTGGAGATTATTTCCTTCTGCACACCAACCCCCACCCACCAACCACACAACGCCCTGGAGCCGGCCCGGAGTATGCCCCGGGGCCATGCCCCGAGCCCTGCTCTGGAGCCATGTCTGGACCATGCCCTGGAGGCACCCTCTGGAGCCTGCTCTGGGACAGCCCGGAGCCCCCCCTGGAGACTATTCCCCTTTTGCACCACCCAACCACCAAAAAAATTTTAAACAGAACCAAGACCCGGAGCATAAAACCCCCGCAAAATTAAAAAGGGAATTACCACCACACACACACACACACACACACACACACACACCACACACACACACACACAATGCACACACCCGCTATAACAACGCTGAATACTTTGGATTTGCAAGTTTCGTGCTTCCAAATTTATTGGGGGGAGCTGCCATAATGCACTTTCATCTGCAAGCACAATAAGCATAAACACACGTACATGTTAATTTTGTTTAAAAGGGTTAGCTTTTTGAGAACCATGTCTCGCAGATAAGACATCACGTATCTAAATGCCTCTCTTTTTACCCATAAAATATTCATCTATTTAGATTCTGTTTATTTGATCTAATTGTTCAGCTACGATAGCTTGTACAAGGCTCTAGAATAACAAAATCTTAACGAAATGGACTAGCGTCTCGATGAATGTAACAACGGATACTATGTAAGAGAACGCAAGAAGTAAACATTACCTCATTAGGACACAGGATATTAGCTATGTCTGGATCACTGGTGTTGAGGCGAGTGGCCAGGAAGGCCTGGCACTTCCCCGTCCACAACACTAACAGCACCACCATGAAATGCTTCGCTCCCACCGCCATCTCCAAGAGTGGGGAAAAAACTGCTTTCTTCCTTGGGTTAGGTTAGGTAAAGTTTTTCAGGAAACAGGACAAGTATTTCCTGACGCGGGTCTTCCATCGGCTTCCCCTCGACAGCCTTATATATGTGAACCTCGCGGCGCCAGGCGACACTGGTCCACTAGCGCTGGCGGCCGTATGATGCAGCCAGTCAGCACACACAATACATACAGAAAATTATACTGTATTTTTTAGTCTCTGACAAATATAACCACCGAGGTAAATGCATTCAAGGCAATGTGATGAATCAAATTTATATACTACACTAAAGCTTTCAATCACAGGCATATACAATAATTGTGATCCCTTGTAGACTATATTTATTCATAGTTCCACGGTTACAAAGACAATTCTGTGTACACAAACAGGTCTGAGTGCACACAAACAATTCTACGGTATGCACACAGCTCCATGTGTACACATACAACCCTATGCGTACATATTGAACTGCGTGGTTGGCCCTGGGAATCAATCAAGATCTGTCACCTGTCGCTGTCTTTACCCTTCTAAGATAACCATTATCACTTCTATAAGAATTTTCTCAGAAACTTAGAACCTGAGAAACTGGAGCAATAATGCCTATCCCTCAGTAAGCTAAATGTGAAGCGAAGTTAAAAGATTCACAATGCACAATAAGCTCTTTATTAGAACTGTTTCGCTCTATATAGAGCTTTATCGTAGTTCGATAAATCTCTACTCAGAGGGAAACGTTGCCCCTTACAAAACGTGTTTTTGAACGCCTGTACGTTTTTCTTCTCTATCTGGACCTATATGCTACGTATAGTGAGAGTTCTCGGAGTAAACTGCGTGGTTTACAGCCTTGGGCTACACTGGTGGAGTGTTCCGCCAACAACCAAAAGGAAGAGGGTTCAAACCCGGGTGAGGTGACACTTGTGAGCAAGTCTCCTAATTAGCACCTGCTGCCCATGGGTCACATATAGCACAATATACACTCCTAGGTATTAGACTGCTCTGAGTCGACTGTTATGTTGCAGCTGTTATTCTTCGACTGCTGTTTCGACTGTTATGGGTTGCATCCTGGGGAGGGGACCAATAGCAGCCTCTAAGGAAGTATGTCACACTGCTGGACATTCCAGGGTTGTCCTGGAGCAGAGGTCCCCAGACTCTTTAATTCATCGACTCCTTCATGAAATTTCAGATTGTTCATCGACTCCAAACATTTATTATATATAAATAATTTAATAAATAGCAATTTAATAGTACTACTACTACTAATAATAATAATTTCATATAAAAATAGGTAATATTTAAATTGTGAAAATGTAAGATTTAACATAACTCTTTTTTACTGAAATTGTTGAATAGAAATGAACAGGAATACTACAAGAGAGATGAGAGAGGGACAAGAGAGATGAGAGAGGGACAAGAGAGATGAGAGAGGGACAAGAGATCTGAAAGAATTAAGGGGGAGGATGGACGGTCACAGATGCACAACGCAAAGCTCGTCCCCAGATATTTACTGACCCCCTTTTGACCCCCCAACCATTTATAGACCCCTTCATTAGTCCCATCAACCCTTAGGGGTCTATATTGACCACTTTGGGGATCCCTGTCCTGGAGTATATCAATATTCCTGGGGTTATTACTCCCCTTGAGTTAATAATTAACAAACATTCCACTCTTCAGACCATTATTCAATAGTGATGAGGGCTAATTAATCGAATTACTTCACCATGATAGTGTTAGTCACTATACTATTGACATATACTGTGTAATGGTGGTAGACACTACATAACGATACTACATATACAATTATTGGTACTAGACACTATATTATGGTACTAGGCACAATATTATGGTGTCAGACACATATGGCGTTAAACACTATATTACGCTCCTGAGTCGCTGTATAACCTCTGACACGAAAAGAGTGAGAGATAAATGTTTAAAAAATGAGGAAGATAGTGCATTGCTTTAGAAGGAAATTTCTCAGAGTTGCTAGAGCGTTGAGAGTGCTTGCAGGTGTTGTCACGAGCAGTTGTCACAAGCAGGTGTTGTCAGAGGTGGAGGTCGTTAGATAGTAGTACACAAGGAGAAAGAAAACGCAGGGTATAGGCAGTATTTTTTATTCCTGTCAACAATAAATACACTAGTAAGAGTATTTTATAATATCAAGTCTTATAGCTTGGTGTAAGCACCATCCACCCACACGATGGTATACAAACACTCTGTTGTTACTCAAGGCTGATACCATAAAACATGTTACTGTTGGTAAAGGAAAATATGGCGAAGGTGAGTCTGCTGTAATGTAGAAATAAGACCATTGAGGCACTGAAGAGTTCTGGGTTTCCCTGTCACACACACACGGCTTCGTACAAGCCGCCATCAATGTCTAAGTTCGCCAGACACCCCTTGGCACCCAGAACCGTTTGCTTTTAATAGCATTAGACAGATTCTCTTAAGAAGTTAGAAGTTAGATATTTTCAGTCTTAGTAGCACTAGCGTCCACCGGGTATACACTCTCTGGTTACATTATAACGTCTGATGATATTGTTGTTCGTCTGGGGAAATATCTCCTGATGCAGGGGATGCCGAACTCGGAGGTTAAGCAACCGCTAGCCTATCGGTTCGGGTTTTCCACCCTTGAAAAAATATAACACTAGTGTGCTGTAGCAGTAGAAACCTCGTTATACAACCAATGAGTCCTGGACGAATAACTTTTAAATAATACCATGAATAAAATCGTGTATAAACATGGGTCTGATCGGAGGACGGGTTGTGATGGCTATTTCTTTACCCTATAACCCCAACTGACGTAGTAAGAGATACCTGACGTATTCACAAGGTCACATTTGCGGCTCTCGTCAGGAAGAGCGAGGAGTTCCTTCCCTGAGATGAGGATCGAGCTGCTAACGTTAAAGTTACATAATTACAATTGCAATCTGTCATTACTCAAAATTCCTGCTAGGTGCCATGTTTCAGTAAGTAATGAAGCCATTGTTACGATTGTCTACGACTCTACATACAAACTTTTCGTAGCGTTGTCTTGTTAAAGAGTTATTCATACTTCATGGAGACTCTTGTGTATCGCATGTGTTAGGATGAAGCTGCATCGCTTACTACTAAAACAACATAGTCAGATGGTCCCACTGGTAATGGAGGGAGCGAGGCTTCGATCACCCGATACAGCGTCAAACCTCCATCGTTCCACACAGTTACATAACTTTTGTTTTCTACGCAATGTCAGGTATTTATATAAAATGTCTTGATATTTAAATAAGATTTAGGTTTAAAAGTCTTATATTGATAATATCCTTAGATAAGGGGAGGGACCTGATTTGGATGGCTAGTGTTACGTTTCTCACTAGTGATGACGGAAGACTTTCTGGATGCCTCTGCGCACTTGGTAACAGCAATGAATTTAGTCTTGCGCTATGTTGGAGCAACGCCCTGGAGCCACGCCCTGGAGCCACGCCCTGGAGCCACGCCCGGGAGCCATGCCCTAGAGCCAAGCCCTGGAGCCAAGCCCTGGAGTCATGCTCTGGAGCCATGTCCTGGAGCCACATCCTGGAGATTATTTCCTTCTGCACCACCAACCACACACCCACCAACCACAGCAACGCCCTGGAGCCAGGCCCTGGAGCTATGCCCTGGAGCCATGCCCTGCAGCCATGCTCTGGAGCCATGCTCTGGAGCCATGCCCTGGAGGCACCCTCTGGAGCCATGCTCTGGAGACATGTCCTGGAGCCACACCCTGGAGACTATCTCCTTCTGCACCACCAACCACACAAACATTTAAGCAGAACCAAGACCTGGAGCATAACCTCCGCAAATTAAATAGGTAATTACACACACACACACACACACACACACACACACACACACACACACACACACACACACACACACACACATGCACACACACACGCTATAACAACGCTGAATACTTTGGCATTTGCAAGTTGCGTGCTTCCAAAGTAGTATAGGCGGAGCAGCTGCCATAATGCACTTTCATCTGCAAGCACAATAACGTACATAACACACGTACATGATACTGGAAAGTCGGAGATAAAGAAAACTTTTTAAAACGTATTATAACCCTCTGGAAGACATACTCACGGAAGGACATTTCTCATAATGAATGTCTGATAATAAATAACACGATCAGAGAAACATGGGCGTCAAGACTAAGTATAAACACTTACACGAGACATAGTCATATATAGACAAATAATAGCGTTTATAATTTTCCATGCACAGTTTGGACAAATATTGTCGAGTAACTACAAAGTCTGCAACCGGAGTGACTTAAATGGAGAGCAGCAGTCGAGAAACTTCTGATAATCACTTTTAAAAGTTCTGTTAAGGTTGGCTCCGTGAGCCATCACTGGCATACCCACAAACACTTTCATATAAATTCAGTATAATTTCAATATTAGGTACAATAAGGTCCAAGAGGCCAAAATCAATTAATGCCTTTCAAAAGAGCTAATGAGGTGGGATCACGAGCTCACACTTAATTTTGCAAAATTCAAATGGTCTAATACACACAACGGCGCCTGGGACACCTCTCCCAAGAATGGACCACTGCTTAAATAATTGTTGTATTCTGACAGGAAATCTCATTTGATTAATTGTGAGTAACGAAATGAGCAAAGGATCGAGTCTCTACCCTTCTTGCACAGAATGATCCATACAGGATGATCACTTTCAAAGGTATTGTCCACAAGTCATTGAGTTTGATACACCGAGATACACACACACTAATGAACTTTATATACCCACCTTGATACTAGCACAGTCAAGGCAGCCCACTGTTAAAGGATCGTACCACAAAACTGAGCTCAGAAGGAAATTCTTCCAACCAGAGGCTTGAAGTGGGTGTAGAGAAAGTTTTTGCAACTGGGTGAGTGTTAAGGGGCTGCAGTTGACTATTTTTTCAACTGGGTGCAACTAGATAAATGTTGTGGGCAGCAGCTGATTTTTCTTTCAAATGGGTGTAACTGAGTGTGCGCTGTTGGCGAAACTCAGGTCATGACGGTGGGAGTGGGACTTAACGAGTATGGGTCGAAACGTTTCTTGAGCGTTCCCCAGAAACCTGAGGTCTTGTGGGGTCCCTTGCCACCGCTGAACCTAGTGGAGTATATGGGCGGAGTGGAAGAAGAGGAGGCGTCGCTGGAGAGGGATAGAGAGAGGGGCAGGCGACGGAGGCGGGAACGCCCGCGGTACATCACCACTACGAAAATGGCCAGAAAAACACACAAGGCCACTCCTCCCAAGATGGAGGCTGCCATGATGGCGCTCTTGGTCGACATATTGAGGGAGTCGGGGTCATTGTCATGAACTGGGTGGTAGCCGTCATGCGGGTATCGAGACCGGTAATCCTGGCCCAAGTGGGTTCCTATGGGCACACCACCTTCCATCAGATCAAAAGTGATGTCATAGCCATTTGAAGTCGTCGTTGAGTTGTGCAATACAGAGAGCACAGACGATAATTCGCTGGTCGTTTTCAAGGGCGGTGGTTGATAGGGTGGGAAGAGCGTCGTCCTTTGAGTTGTCTGGTGTCTGTTAGTGATTATACTCCGGTGAGAACCTCCATCCCATCCTCCTCCCTCCCCCAGCGGGCGGTAAGGACGGGGTCGGTACCTCTCAGAACCCCCTGAAGGGTTGTAGGGCCTCAGAGTCACAGGAGAGACTGGTAGCTTAGACCTTTCGCTCTCGCTGTTTTTACTGTTATCTGTCTCCTTGGTTTCTGGGATCGTTGTTTCAAGGTTTATTGGCTTTTTATTCTGTGTAGAACTGGTGTCAGTTACACTGATAGACATTCCATCTTCAGACTTGGCTTCATTTTCAGTTGCAGTGGATTTGGCACCTGAGTCAGGCTCGGCTTCCTTGTCAGCCACAATGGTAGTGACTCCAGCATCAGGTGTAACATCCTGGTCAGCCATTGTGAAAAGCGAACCTAAATCATGGAGAATGTCTGAGGCACTCAGGCCTTTCTCCTTCATGATGGCTGCCATGTCCATCTTAATGGGGATTGGAGCTTTTCCCTTCTCTTCTGTGTCTTCATCTGCCTCTTTTGTAACATTAAGAGTTTTCTCATGTTGTGCTACAGAAAATTGTGGTATTCCACCAGGTCGAAAGCCAAATATTTTAGGAGTTGGAGCCGAAGAAAGGGGCTGTGGGGTGGTTGTTGTAGTTGTAGTAGTTGTAGTTGATGGTTTCCAAGTAGGCCTATGGGTGAGCCAGTAAGGAATGAGGCTCACTTGTTTTTCTTCTATATTTTCCCCCTCATCTGTAGATGTTTCTTCATTTGTTGTTTTTGTGTCATTCATTGATTTCCTTTCCTCCATTACTTTCGAGTTATTCGTCATTTTCACGTCAACTGTTGCTCTCCCATCATCTGCTGATTTTCCCTCATCTGTCGATTTCAGATCATCAGTCGATTTTCCTTCAGCCATCAATTTTCCATCATCCATCAATTTTACCTCACCTGGCTGTTTCTCCTCCATCGATTGACCCTCATCTTTCGATACACCTTTATCCTCTAAGTCTCCATTGCTGCCTTCACTGGCTGCTATATTGGTATCTTCCTTCAGCATGCTGAGAAGTGAATTCATGTCACCTTTAACATTCCTGAATTCTCGCTTTGTGAGCGCCCTGGCTTGAAGGCTAGTAGTGAAGGTCTTCATGGTGAGGCCGTGAGCCTTCAGAGCCACCAGGAACTGAGGCAGTGTCATGCCCATCCCCTGCATGATCTCCGACAGGCTGATGGGAGGCCCTGAACTCGTCGATTCTGGGAATAAACAATAACAGTGAGTCACACATTTACTTACAAATTTGTATTTTTAATTTTTTACTTAATGGTGTTTCCACCCCTGATCAACTGAGTATATGAAGTTGAAACCAAAGCCCAACTAGAACAGCATTTCTAAAATTCTTCGTTTGTAATGTTAATACAAGCTTAATAACAAATTTAAAATGAAAAGGCTAGCTATAGTTTTTCCAGGCATATGCATGCAGATAGGTATGCAAGCATATCTTGAAAGAACTCATGAGAAAGTCGTCAGGAGCCGACACTTGACTCCAGTAGCTTTAAATTAGTGAGTTCACATACTGTTAATACTACATGATCCCTGCAAATTATGGTTGCTCAAAGGTAACACCAATTATAAGCTGAATTTTTACCTCAATGTGACAATATGAGGAGGACGGAATCTCAGAGGCCTCAAATTGCTGAATCTTTGGACAGAAGACCAGAACGAGACCACTGTGCCACATATATTAAAGCCATTTTAACCATATAATTTACCTAGTCTTAGAGGTTAAAGAGTTTTTTTCCTCCTCCAGTTGTACTGAGAGGACTGTAGCATCAAATAAAAAATGATACCCTGTCCTTATTTTGGCAAAAATAGTCATGTAAAAATAAGTTATTTGAGGTAACAGTGGGATCCTATCACAGCCCAAAGATCCAGTAAGTTACAGATTAGTTTTCTAATGTAAACATTGTTGTGGTAAAAATATTTGTTTTGCACCTAAGCCTCGGATATTAATTCAAGATATAAGACAATGATGGGTGAAGGCCGTATTATGAACAGGAAGACAAACATACGTCAGATTACAAGAGTTTATTGTGACATTTCATTCCAAGGGGAGTTTTCTTTTTTTTTTAAATCATGGAGGTGTACATCCCACACACATATATACTTAGAATGTAAGGAGGAAAGTTAAATGGAGTGTGTAAAGGGGATCAGATCTCAGATTTCTAGGTAAGGATCCGGCAACTGGTGGTAGGCTGGTGATGCCATCTGATCAGGAATTAGTGATGTGTGTAATGCAGTACCCCTGGAACACCCTCCAGGTAGACCCCAGTTAGGTAGGTCAGGTCTATGAGTCGGTGGCAGGGTGTGTGCTGGGATATCACCTGGTCGTGAGACAGTAACTATATGAGCTGCACTAATAGTTTTGCAAGTTTAAGGCACCGTGTTTTTGTTCTGTAGTTCCTGACCAGCCGGGCTGTGGCTCGTACGTTGGTTTGCGTGCAGCCAGCAGCAACAGCCTGGTTGATCAGGCTCTGATCCACCAGGAGGCCTGGTCACAGACCGGGCCGCGGGGGCGTTGACCCCCGGAACTCTCTCCAGGTAAACTCCAGGTACTTGTGTGGACAGTTACCGACTCGTGACCAGGTGATATACCCACTCAACCCCAGCAGAGATATCCTGACTCCCGACCCAGGAACCTGACCTTACATTACCCACATCAACAAATCAACAATTCTGATCGGGTGACATTGCAGTCTAGCATCAATTTCTAGACCCTCACCTTCAAACCTATGGCTTCACCCACTTTACACACTCCACTTAACTTTCCACCTTATCTTCCAAAAGTATTTACATGTGTTGGATGTACACCTCTGAATGACTTATAGAAGCCCTCCTTAGCACGAAGCATTGTCCCAATAAAAGTGTATTTAATATTACCAAATCTTGAGAATGGTGGATCCCTGACGATGGGACGGTGAGTCTCTTGCTTGGGGACCCGTTGACTGCCTGCAGAGTCACTACCCAGAGGCTGTTCCTCGCTCCCCACACTTATGAATGAGCCTTTTTCCACTTCTGCTGGATGCACCTCTTTTGTACTGTTTGAAAATTTCCCCTCACCAGGTTCTGCAGATGCTTTGTTGATTGGGGCTGTTGAACTTATAGTTGTAGAAGGGATTGTACTTGTTGTAGCTGCTGTAGTTGTCGTGGTAGTACTAGTAGTAGAAGTTGTAGTAGTACTAGCAGTGGAAGTTGCAGGAGTACTAGTAGTAGAACTTGTAGTGCTGGTGGTGATGGTTGGGGGTAATGTTGTAGAAGGAAGTGCAGCAGTGGTGGTGGTGGTGGTAGTTATGGTAGTTGGTGTTGGTGTTGTCACTGATGTAGGGGTAGTAGTAGATGTCGAAGTTGATGATGGTGCTGTTGCTGGAGCTATAGTGGTTGGGGAAGGCGATGAAGGCATCGCTATTGTAGAGGGGATGTGTGTTGCATGACTTTCACTGGTCAGGTTACTTAAAGGTGGGGGCTGTGAGGGCTGGTGCATCACATCTGCCTCTGGCATCGCAGAAGTTGTAGGCGATAACGACTCATCGTAGTCATAGTACATGTCTAGAAACTCATCGTAAAGCTTGTCATAGTAATCATTGCCATAGTCCCCGGACGACATCTCGATCATGTCATCTTGTACAGCAGCAGCTGTCCCGGTGTCATGTTCATGTAGAGATGAGTTTTGGGAGTCAGCCGAAGTTGCTGGGGATAAAGGATGAGGTGGAGGAGGAGGTATAGGTGGAGGTGGAGGCAAAGTGGAAAGCTTTTCTTCCCTGGTGTTTATCAGAGAAAGGCGGTCGTTACTGTATGACTGTGATTTGATGGATTTGCCAGGACCCACCGGTGGCTGCTGCTCACTGTCTTGGCTTGGTGGTTCTAAAATGTCTGCACTCTCCTCTCTTTCTGGGCCGTCATTGAAGACAGGAATACTTGGATAGTCATACTCGAAATTGGAAGGTCCTCTTTCCTGTGGACCCACATGAATTCTATCAGCATCAAAGCCAGCTGGAGCATGGAGTAGTGGAGCATCAGTGTGGGGTACATCATAGTCATCAGCAGTTGGGGGGCCATTATTATTAGCAGGGTAATGATCATTATGTGAACTGGTAGGCAAGGTCCCTTCATGTTGACTGGCAGGTGAGTGGTTATCATTCACATTGGCGAACAAGGCCCCCTCATCCTCACTGGCAGGTGGGATATCATCCTCAGTGTTGGCAGGTGGGATTCCATCATCAGTGTTGGCAGGTGGGATTCCATCATCAGTGTTGGTAGGTGGGATATCATCATCAGTGTTGGAAGGAGGGATTCCATCATTGGTGTTGGCAGGTGGGATTCCATCAGTGCTGGCAGGTGGGATTCCATCATCGAGACTGTCAGGTGTAGAGCTGTCACCTACACTGTCACCTTCCAGTAGAGCAGCCAGGTTACTGGGATGCAAAAATGGTCTTGCAGAGCTCATGCCTGGAGAAGGTGCAAAAGGAGGAGGTGCAGGAGAAGGAGGTGGAACAGAGGAAGGAGGCTGAGGAGGAGGAGGAGGAGGAGGAGGAGGAGGAGGAGGAGGAGGAGAAGGAGGTGTGAGAGAGGAATGCAGAGGAGACACATGAGAACTTGCTGGAAATGTGTGTGGCTGCTTTCTGATAGGTGGATGCTGGTACCCAGGAAGTTGATGTGCAAAGCTGGAAGCAGTCATGGATGCAGGCCTCCTGCGCTGTGGGTGTTGAAGAGGGGCAGGAGGGAAGGAGGGAGGTGTTGGATGTCGGGCAGGGGAAGGAGGGAAGGATGGGGGTTGCGGTGGTCGGTCTGCTGGAGGAAACTGGCTAAATGCTTCTCCTTGAGCTGATGGAACTGGGCGGGGTGACCAGTTGCCGAAGGTTTGGCTCCTAGGTGCGTGTTGGTCCTTTAGAGGCACCCCACTACCAAAGGGGTCAAACCGAATCCTGGAATGGTAGCCTTCCCCACGGACCTCTGACTCGAAGGGGTAGGTGCCACGGTAAGGATGGAGTCTCAGGCTGTGGTTAAGCCGGCTGGTGGGTTGTTGGTTCTTCAGTGTTCTGCAGGTAGTATATGGAATAATAACATCTGGTATCATACTGTGGGTACAAAAAAAAAACTGCATTTGGCACCATATTGTGGGTACATAAAATAATTCATTTGGGCACTGTGCTCAGTCTGTCACGATGGATGACTGGTTTAATTACAGTGTTAATAGTCCATAAAGGTTTAGCACTTTTTATGAATATATTAGTAATCTAAGTAATACAATGGGATAAGAACATTACTAATACGATATATAATAATATTTACATTACCTTCATTTCCTTTTATTTCACATCTGTGCAATTTCTAAGAAAATTTTCATCACTATTATTGCATATTTATAATTATCTATCTGTAATTAAAAAATACAACTACTCTCGTGGTGTCCCATATCATTAACGAAACTGCAGCTGGCCGAGACTCAATCCTGCATCACCTTGTCCCGCCCTGTAGGAAACTGGATAAAATTCGTGATGCTCTAACCATTACACCATCAATCCTACAAACAACATGAGCCTAGCGAACTAGACTTGCTTCATGTTGCAATGGCATACGTGGCCATTTCAGTCTACTCCCGTTTGAATACTGGGAACGTTATCCTGCTTTCCACGGGATGGGACAAGGTGATGTGGGATCGAGTCTCGGCCAGCTGCAGTTTCATTAATGATTCAAAAATCACTTGTTTGGTGATTTCATTACCACTTATCTTGGGTTTATGGACTATATGTCTTGGATGGGTTCTTGTGGCACTATGCTTGAGATGCACAGGCAGCCCTCATGTGCAGTTAGCCTGTTCATAACACAGATAACAAAAATAATGACAGACTTGAATGACTCTCCGTGAATGTAAGAGTAGCCATAGTTTGAAGAACGTGCAGTGAACACACAATGAATGTGCAGGAAACATGCAGAAGGAAGGTATATAGAAAATGTTTTTAAATCCAGAATGGTAGATATTGCCATGATGGCCTCCTCTGCCATGTTCTAGGCTGGAGAAGATATAGTGGTCACTCATCAGGGATAATTGAGTTAACTGCAGGTGTGACTTTGTTTATTAAGAGGTCGTCTTCACGGGTTCAGAGTAGTTATCTTACATCATTTCATTTACAGGCTAAGAGCTGTTATCCTACCTCAGTTCATTTACAAACTAAGATCTGTTATCCTATCTGAGCTTTGTTTCAAAGCCTGGCCAAAACTAAGGTATAACTCTTTCCTCTCCTTTTTTCCTGGAAACAAACCTGTTTACTGGAAAATGAACAGGGGGAGCAGGTTTAAATAGGCATCCATATGCCTTGCCTGGCCCCTACAGAGAGTGTGTGTAGATGGGTCACACTACTAGTAATATAGATACCAAGTACCCCTGTTATCCTACCTGTCCATGTTACTTTTGGAAGTGTTGCCTCGTCGTTGTGGTGTGGGTGAGACGTGGTCGTCTATGGCACCTGTGCCATCTGTGTTGTCTGGTAGGGAGTCAGGGTTTGGGGATGACTTTGTCACAGAAGGTAGTTTTGGTCGTCTCCAGGGAAACCTCTCTCCGGGTAGTTTGAGCCGTCTGTAATTCAGGCCTCTGTGGCCTACCTGTTTCCTACCTGATGTTTGTGCTGGGCTGTGTACATGCTGATTATCATTGCTGGGGTGTTGTAACATTCGTCGATGTAGCACAGGTGCAGTCAAGGTGCTGTGTTGACTTGCAGGTGTTGTGGGGTCTGGAAGTGTGTCATCGTTAGACCCTAGGAGTGTCTTATCACTGGGCCTTAGGGGTGTGTTGTCATCAGACCCTGGAAGTGTACCTTCACTGGGTCTCACGGGTGTGTTGTCGTCATACCCTGGGAGTGAGTCGTCAGTGGGCTCTGGTTGTGTGCCATCTTTGGGTTCTGATTTAGGAGGGGCAGAGGGCCATTTCCGTTTTGCTTGAAAGGAGTTCGATTCAACACTTGGAGGGAAGGAGGATCGTTTTGCGACCGTATGTTTGAGCATTGGTCCAGGATGGGCGGTGAGAGAAGCCAGCGAGAACTCATATTGAATTCTATGTGAGGCATGCAGAGAGGATAGAGAGAAAAAGGAGGAAGGAGAGAAAGAATGTAGAAGGGGCAGGGAGGAAGATATGTTACCATCGTCCTGATGAGTAACAGCAAGGGACTGTGATGGTGGGGAGGAGGGAATAAGAGTGAAAAATGCAGATGGTGCTGACAGGTGGTTGCGAAACTCCTCAGAATTTCTTTCTCTTTCAGAAGTCGAGGGAAAAATTCTGAAAGAAATTGCAAAATGCTTCTAAGACAACACAAAATAACTTGAGATCAGTCTCTTAGTTTTAGGCAAGCACATGCAATTATTCGATTATTCTGCTAGTTAGTTTAAACAAATTAACAACCACATTCGTTATTTGGAACATAGGTACATGCTTAGAGAGCTCGTGCATTGTTAGTAGTTGAGGGATGGGCAAACAAGTCTTAGAAGGGATAACAAGGCAGAGATTTGTGAAAAAAAACTTATGTCTAAAGGCAAAGAGACAATTTGCAAAAGAAACTATTATTGGGACAACTTTTTGCTATGACTTTATAAGGCTGTACACAAATGTTATCTCAATGAAAGTTTGTTTTGCAGCATATGCCTTTATTTTTATCCTTGGCATTATGATATTGCATCCAAAAGCATTAGTCGCCATTAAAAACCAGGGTTCAGAGTTGGTGCCAAAGCACCTGTCACATGCAACTCTGATTAGTAAACAAATGTTGATTTCTAAATTGTGATGAAGTTATACTTATGAGCTTTAGGTCTTGGGTGGAGCACAGCATTAATTTTTAATTGCGTAGTTACAGTGTAATTTATTACAGACACTCAGCTTCATTGAGAACGCAAGCGTAATGCTGCCCAACCAATGACGGCATTCCCAAAATAGTTTTCCCAAGTCTGACGGATACAGTATTACATTATTATTATAATCAAAAAGAAGCGCTAAGCCACAAGGGCTATACAGCATACAGTATTACAACAGATTGGAAAGTCAGCTGTTTATAGTTGAACAATTCAATTCTTGATTGAGAGTTAGTTGTTTCTTAGATATCCAAACAATCTGTCGCTAAAAACTTCCATGTGTTTTCTCTTACACTGGGTCACCTTAAGGTGACGATGGTAGTGGAAAATTGATAGGTTCGTACTTCCAGAGTGGCTTGGCTAAGACTTCAGATCCCTCCCTTCTCAATCTACCTAAATAATGGGGGATAATTCCCCATTAGGCAAAATTCCTTTCTGGAAGAATGGGAAACGGATATTTACGTTGTTTTGCATCAGCTTTCCTGCCAGTTGTATTGCTGGGTAAGCTGTCGCAAGGCCAGTTAAGTAACAGTACACAGCCAGAGGTTGTCTGAGTGTCCAGGAGATATGCAAATATATACAATTCTTGATGCTTTTATATTTTTTGCATCCACAGAACAAAGTGGTTTTTAAGTAAATACAATACTATGATAAGCTGGGAATCAAACTCACGATAAGTGGTGTAAGGCGTCGGGAGGTTAGTTAAGTTCCCAAGAATCGGGTTAAATGTCCGGCTGGTCGCAGTATTGCATATATATTATATATATATATATATATATATATATATATATATATATATATATTATATATATATATTATATATATATATATATATAATATAATATTATATATATATAATATATATATATATATATATATAATATATATATATATATATATATATATAATATATATATAAAATTATAATATATAATATATATAATTATATAATAATATATATATATATATATATATATATTATATATATATATATATATATATATATTATATAATATATATATATATGTCGTGCCGAATATGAAAAACTGGTCAATTAGCAAGAACTCATTTAAAATTAAATCCTTTCTAAAATTTTCTCATATACGTTTAAAGACATATTTTTTTCATTAATGTTAATGTAAAAATTTATAATTTTGCACCAAAAGGAACTTAGAAAACTTACCTAACCTTATTATAACAAGAACAATTTATTTTAGCCTAACCCAACTAAATATATTTTAATTTGTTTACAATAATTTAATACTAAACAAACACAGTGAAATATTTTTTTTCGTTAGGTTCAAAATTATTTTGACGAAATTATTGCATACACAAATTTTCGTTTGTCCTATATGGCAAGATGAGCGTTGCTATTTAAGCCAAGATCGCAAGTTCTGCCTATTCGGCACGACATTATATATATATATATATATATATATATTATATATATATATATATATATATATATATATATATATGCTTAACAATTCGCAAACAGTAGAAATTATTTACAGACTTTGTCTCTACATCCACAGCAGGACTCGAACCTGCAAAGTCGGTATCAGAGTCCACAGTACTCTACCACTGAGCCAGTCCCCAGACAAGTATGGGCGCCTAGCTGGAGCTAGGCGATGTTTCCTCACACCCCGGGGCACCAGGTAAAGTACTGTGGACTCTGATACAGAGTTTGCAGGTTCGAGTCCTGCTGTGGGCGTGTGTGTAATTTTAATTCATAATTCTATATACAAAGTAAAAATAGATCAGGCTCTTTAGCCCTTTGTTCATAGAAGTGTAGGGTAATTAAGATAAAAGAATATAGCAAAAGTGTAATTAAGATAGAGAAGTAATTAAGATATAGGAATAATTGAAGTTGAGAAGTAACTAAAACAGAGGCATAATTAAGATGGAGAAGTAATTAAAATGAAAATGTAATTGAGATAACGGCATAAATAAGATACAGGAGAAATTAAGATTAAAAAGAAATTAACATAGAGGAACCATTCAAAAATAAATAATTAAAAATCACAATTAAGACAGACTAATTAAGAGAGATGAGCATTTAATATACCGAACTAATTAATATATAGGTTGAAAATATATAAGTAATTAAAACAAATAAAGAAAATGGAATAGTAATTAAGATACAAGACTAATTAAGGGAGATGAATAATTAAAATTAGTGTATAATTGATACAGAATGAGTAATTAATTAGTAACTAAAAGAATAATTACGTGTCATCGTATAATACAGATTTTCTTATTGATAAAAATAATGACATTAACTAGAGTGACATTTAATGAAGATAAATGTAAATAATAATAATCAAATAATTAATAAAATGGTGGGTAGTTGTGGTACCTCGGGGTGGTGTTCCATGGCAGGTTGGACCTGAGTTCTGGTTGACCTGCCCACAGGGGAGGACCCCATTGGTGCTCGGCCTGTAAATAACGAGAAAATTTAAACAGTTCGGTTAATAGGCTAAGAGCTGGTGCTCTTTCTCGGCTCATTTACAGGCCAAGACCTGCTAGCCGAGGATTCGAACCAACGTCGTTTTGGCCCGCCTCGTGGTGACCAAAAATCATATGGCGCTCTAACCCACTGGACCACACAACCCTACAAAAATCAAGCACCCAGCAGAGCTAGGTGTTTTACCGTGATCCGAGGATGTACGGTGATGTGGGCACCTCTGAGGTAATTTCATTCTAATCCCCGCTTGGTGTACTAGCCTCCACGAGCAGTATATATATTATTGTAACCCCGAACGACTGGTAGTGAATCGATAACACTGCGACTAGCCGGTACATACTGCTCGTGGAGGCTAGTACACCAAACGGGGATTACAATGAAATTAGCTCAGAGGCACCCACACTACCGTATGTCCTCGGATCAAGGTAAAATACCTAGCTCTGCTGGGTACTTGATTTTTGTAGGATTGCGTGGTCCAGTGGGTTAGAGCGTCATGTAATTTTCGCTCACCACGAGGCAGGGGCAAAATAACATGAGTTCGAATCCTCGGCTAGTCGCAGTGTTGTTTCTGATTCAATACCGCTCGTTTGTGGTTACAATAATATATTTTTATATATTTATATATATATATATATTTATTATTATATATATATATTATATATATATATTTATATTATATGTCGTGCCGAATAGGCAGAACTTGCGATCTTGGCTTAAATAGCAACGTTTATCTTGCCATATAGGAAAGTAAAAAATTTTTTGTATGCAATAATTTCGCCAAAAACATTCTGAACTTAACGAAAAACAAAAATTTCACTGTGTTTGTTTAGTATTAAATTATTGTAAACAAATCTAAAATATATTTAGTTAGGTTAGGCTAAAATAAATTGTTTTGTTAAATAAGGTTAGGTAAGTTTTTTTAAGATTCTTTTGGTGCCCAAAAAGAAAAAATTTTTTTCATTAAAATTAATGAAAAAAATATTCCCTTTAAACGTAAAAAAGAAAATTTCAGAAAGGACTTAATTTTAAATGAGTTCTTGCTAATTAACCAGTTTTACTATTCGGCACGACATTATATATATATTATATATATATATATATATTTATTATATATATTATATATATTATATATTATTTTTTTATTATTATTATCACACTGGGCCCATTTTCCCCCCAAGGCAGGGTGGCCCCAAAAAGAAAAACTTTCACCATCATTCACTCATCACTGTCTTGCCAGAAGGGTGCTTTACACTACAGTTTTTAAACTGCAACATTAACACCCCTCCTTCAGAGTGCGGGCACTGTACTTCCCATCTCCAGGACTCAAGTCCGGCCTCCCGGTTTCCCTGAACCCCTTCATAAATGTTACTTTGCTCACACTCCAACAGCACGTCAAGTTTTTAAAAACCATTTGTCTCCATTCACTCCTATCAAACACGCTCACGCATCCCTGTGGAGCCCAAAAGCCCCTCGCAACAAAAAACCCTCCTTTCCCCCTCCCCCCAAACCTTTCCTAGGCAGACCCTACCGCCTTCCTTCCACTACGGGAATGATACACTCTTGAAGTTATTCTGGTTTCGCTCCGTTCTCCCCACATGTCCGAACACCTCAACAACCCTTTCCTCAGCCTCTGGAAAACATTTTTGGTAATCCCGCACCTCCTCCTAACTTCCAAACTACGAATTCTCTGCATTATATTCACATACACATTGCTCTCAGACATGACATCTCCACTGCCTCCAGCCTTCTCCTCGCTGCAACATTCATCACCCATGCTTCACACCATATAAGAGCGTTGGTAAAACTATACTCTCATACATTCCCCTCTTTCCCTCCAAGGACAAAGTTCTTTGTCTCCACAGACTCCTAAGTGCACCCACTCACCCTTTTCCCCTCATCAATTCTATGATTCACCTCATCTTTCATAGACCCATCCGCTGACAGTCCACTCCCAATATCTAAATACATTCACCTCCTCCATACCTCTCTCCCTCCAATTGATATCCAATCTTTCATCACCTAATCTTTTTGTTATCTCATAACCTTACTTTTCCTGTATTCACTTTCAATTTTTTCTTTTGCACACCCTCCCAAATTCATCCCCCAATCTCTGCAATTCTCTTCAGAATCTCCAAAGAGCACAGTGTCATCAGCAGAGAGAAAACTGTGACAACCCCCACTTTATGTGTGATTCTTTATCTTTTAACTCCACGCCTCTTGCCAAGACCCTCGCATTTACTTCTCTTACAACCCCCTCTATAAATATATTAAACAACCACGGTGACATCACACATCCTTGTCTAAGGCCTACTTTTACAGGGAAATAATTTCCTCTTTCCTTTCATATCTAACTTGAGCCTCACTATCCTCGTTAAAAACTCTTCACTGCTTTCAGTAACCTACCTCTACACCATACACCTGCAAAAATCTGCCACATTGCCCCCTATCCACCCTGTCATACGCCTTTTCCAAAAACCATAAATGCCACAAAGACCTCTTTAGACTTATCTAAATACTGTTCACTTATATGTTTCACTGTAAACACCCGGTCCACACACCCCTACCTTTCCTAAAACCTCCTTGTTCATTGCTATCCTATTTCTCCGTCTTACTCTTAATTCTTTCAATAATAACTCCCACATACACTTTGCCTGGTATACTCAACAGACTTATCCCCTATAATTTTTGCACTCTCTTTTATCCCTTTGCCTTTATACAAAGGAACTATGCATGCCCCTCTGCCAATCCCCAGGTACCTTACCTCTTCCATACATTTATTAAATAATTGCCCCAACCACTCCAAAACTTATCCCACCTGCTTTTAAAACATTTCCCAAACTATTTATCCATAAATCCGGTGTTCCCTCTCATTTTACCTACTTTTCTTTTTCACGATATTCCCCCACACTCAAAACTGGCTTTCCTCATCCTACAAGATGTTGTTCCCCCTTTTCCCCTATACACGAAATTCCAGCTTCCGTATCTTCATCAACATTTAACAATTCCTCAAAAAATTGTCATCTTCCCAATCCTTAACTTCCATTTAAATCTCCTCTTCCTATTTTTAAACTGCAAATCATTTGTTTCTCTAGGCTTTTTTAAACTTTTTAAATCTCATTTCCAAAAAACCTTTATTTAAAATATATATATAATTTTATTTTATATATATATATATATATATATATATTATATATATATATATATTATATATATATTATATAAAGAGCATTTTCTCTATTTCGGGGATTAAAGTATTCTTGATATTAGTTTATACAATAATTGCGACATTTACAGACACACTCTTTCACTTAATCTAAAAGAGAAAAATGAGAGTCTTACTTGGTGAGGTTGAGGGTCGGCGATAACAAATCTCTCCTGTGTGTCCAAGTGTGGCCAGACACCGTCTGGAGTCCTGCTGAAGGCCTCCTGAGTTACTGGGGTGTGCTGCGTCCTGGCCTGCACCTCCTGCGGTCTGGCCTGCACATCCTGCGGTCTGGCCTGCACATCCTGCGGTCTGGCCTGAACATCCTGTGGTCTGGCCTGCACATCCTGCAGTCTGGCCTGCACATCCTGCGGTCTGGCCTGCACATCCTGCGGTCTGGCCTGTCCCAACCCGACACCCATCAACACCACCACCACCACAGCTGTGACTAGTTTTACCATATTGCTGTGGCCTGTGTGGCCACAGACATCTGTCAGCGTCCACTTCCCCACTGTGGCCGCTCTTGGCTTCCTCAACACGTCAACACCTGAGAATGAATAACTGCGTCAGGTGTTGATACTTTCATAATTGACGGGAAAATAGAGCACTTAAACCACTCTTCAACGTTGAATATAAATAAGTCACTCCGATTATTTTTGGGGGTTATCCTAAGTAATTTACACATATATTACTACGTATGATAATTTGTGTAACTGTATTTATGTGTATCTGTCCCTAAATAAACTTACGTACATCCAAAATCACTATGGTATCTTCAGGAACAATGTAAACTGGTCTACCTGGTATTCCAGGGGTCAACGCCCCCACGGCTCAATCCTTGACCAGCCCGATTGATCGGGTATTGACTTTATTTTACACGTGTCTCTGTGTCCTTACAAAACTGAAGGTAAATATGGTGATAGAGACACTGTACTTCATCCTTGGAATGGGAAGTACAGTGCCTGCACTCTGAAGGAGCGGTGTTAATGTTGCAGTTTAAAAACTGTAGTGTAAAGCACCCTTCTGGCAAGACAGTGATGGAGTGAATGATGGTGAAAGTTTTTCTTTTTCAGGGCACCCTGCCTTGGTGGGAAAAAACCGATGTGTTAATGTTACGCGCCCCTACTTCACTCCATTATATACAAAAATAAAAGGCCTGGTTAAAATAAGTTCTGTAATAATATATCGCGAACCACTTTATTACTAGCTAGATAAAGCAGGTTCCACTATATATTATTATCGGGTACAGTATGAATCATCAAAAGTACTCTCATTGTATTATATTGTATTATATTATATTATTATTAGGTTAGGTATTACGAATGTGTAACCACTACTGTAGTGACCAATTGGTGGTTCTAGAATGACGCCACGCGTCGCCTTCTGGCCGAGCTGAAGTCATACTATGGAGTAGTTGAGTGAGTCAGTCAGCTTCTAGCTCTGACTCGGTACGGGTCTTCAACCCAAAGCTCCTAGCTTAAACTAAAACTTTATACCAAGTCTATTGTCTTGCCTTTGCCATTAGTTTCCTGAAGTCTTGTAATTCATGTCACTTATGAAAGATAACTATTTCGTTACCCTAGACCTTTCTAAAAGAGTTAAATGGTGAGATTAGTAGATTATTAATTGAAATTATTGTATCATATTCTGTTAATGAGAATTTGAATGTAAGATTGGGTTTCTTGCTGTATAGTATTTCATTTATAATTGCTTGTGGTTATTTTAATTCACTAACCAAATACCAATGAAACTAAATGATTGGTAATAAAATAAAACTAACAAAAAAAAAATGGAGTTATTTGTGCCCCTATTGTTACATAAGAACATAAGAACATAAGAACGAAGGAACACTGCAGAAGGCCTACTGGCCCATGCGAGGCAGGTCCAAGTCCCTACCGGCTTAAGCCAATGCACCCAACCTAGTCAGGTCAGGTCACATTGACTTAAGGGAGGAACACGGCAACCGACCTGTTAGCACAAGCTATCAGGTCCAACTCACACCCACCCACATCTACTCATGTATTTATCCAACCTATTTTTAAAGCTACACAACGTTCTGGCCTCTATAACGGTACTTGGGGAGTTTGTTCCACTCATCCACAACTCTATTACCAAACCAGTACTTTCCTATATCCCTCCTGAATCTGAATTTTTCCAACTTAAAACCATTGCTGCGAGTCCTGTCTAGGCTAGACATTTTCAGCACACTATTTACATCCCCTTTATTTATTCCTGTCTTCCACTTATAAACCTCAATCATATCCCCCCTAATTCTACGTCTTTCTAGAGAGTGCAGTTTCAGGGCCCTTAGTCTATCCTCATAGGGAAGGTTTCTGATACATGGGATCATCTTTGTCATCTCCTTTGTACATTTTCCAGAGAATTTATATCATTCTGTAATACGGTGACCAAAACTGTGCAGCATAATCTAAATGAGGCCTAACCAAGGATGTATAGAGTTGAAGAACAACCTGAGGACTCCTATTATTTATGCTTCTTGATATGAAGCCAAGGATTCTATTAGCTTTATTGCGAACACTTATGCACTGTTGTCTTGGTTTCAGATTACTGCTAACCAGAACTCCTAAATCTTTTTCGCAATCCGTAATATTAAGATCTACATTATTTAGTTTATATGTGGCATGGTTATTGTCCTGTCCAACATTTAGAACTTTGCATTTGTCTATATTAAACTGCATCTGCCACTTACAGTGAAGATTAAGTCGTAACAAATGGGTTGTCTGTCCGGGAGCTACTTACCCTGAAGTACATATTTGTTTTGCATTAAAATTAAGCTCCCTTGCGAGAATTAAGAAAATGGATCCAGAAATTAAGTCATTATTAGATGAATTAACAGAGGCTACTCTTGACACTAAAATTACAGACGTGTTGGCAAATAGCTAGACAGTTAGATATACCTTATAATAGATACCATAGCGCAGAGACTCTTAGGTCCCTAATTAAGGATAGATTATTTCCGAAATCCCAAGCAATGCCAGAATTAGATTCGGAAGATAGTTTTATTTCTCAGTTCGAGGAAGTAGAAATCCCACGGACGGGAACTGCCTTAAATAATGAAGTTGAGCCAGGGTTTACGAGGCCTTACTACTCAATCCAGTCTCAAAGCTCTCCCCCGTTCATTTCCCCGGAGTATGTATCGGTGGTTGGAACGAACCCTCAGTTAAATAACGGGGATAATTTTAGGACTGGTGCTCGTCCCAAAATACTTCCGGAGAAGACGCCCGAATTCCCCTCGGTGTCATTACCTCTTGGGAATTTCACGTCCGAACAACTAGAGAGAATAGAACGCATATTACTATTACAAAACTCTCAAATCGAAGCTAGAAGACGTCTAAACGAGGAAGAATTTAGGAGTGAAAGGTTTCGTTTTGAAACAAAGCAGAAGAGAGTTCCGGAAGAGACGTGAAGAGCACGGTAACCGGGTTTGACTTGCATAAAGCAGCTGTGATGGTACCTAAGTTTAACAAAACAGACTTAGATGAATTCTTTGAAATTTTTGAGAATCAGGCACGTTCAATGGGCTGGCCCAAAGACAAATGGGCCACATTGCTGCACACGTCTCTATATGGAAAGGCGCAGTCTTGTGTCGCCTCCTTACCATATGAGTTTTATGTCCAGTACGACGTAGTAAAGAGAACTATTTTAGAAGCATATGACATGCTCCTATTAGTTACCAATAGCTTTCGTTCCATGAAACGGCAAACAGGACAAACTTATTTAGATTTTGCCCGAGGGAAAGCAGTGGCGTTTGAACGTTGGTGTCGAGCTTCTCGGGGTCACGAATTTAAAAGATCTATCGCAATTAATGTTACTAGAAGATTTGTATGGAAATTTTCCAGAGGGAGTTCGCCAGTATCTTGTTGGCCATCCGCAAACGACGTTGTTAGAGACTGCCACGCTGGCAGACAACTTTGAGATTTCCCAGAGGTTGGTACAATCTGAAAGCAGCCAGGTTATCAAACCAGCAATGAGACCCGAACCTGCGAAGCCTTTCGGTAAGCGACCTACCCAACCCGTTCACTCCTGTGTAACAAGTAAATCCGAAGTAAAACACCAAATTCAATCGAGCCCTTCCTATAGACCAGATAGGTCATGGGAAAAAATTAAATGTTCGTACTGTTCGAAGCTGGGACATTTCAAATCACAATGCTTTAAGCGTGATAGGGACCAGGGAAGGAGTCCATCCTATAGATTGCCCACACAAATAATATCCTCTACGACTCATCCAAGGAAGTCTGAGCCAAGAGTAGACGCTCTGTCCCAAGGAAAAGGAACAGATCCTCCTAGTTGACTAAGCAGAATATGGGTATCATCGTTAAACTTGTCAAGAGCTATGAGTCCTTACTTTTCCAAAAGCAAAGTAGGAATTACCGATAGCCAGTTGTTGCAAGTAAATTCCTTTAGGGTTTACGGGTTCCTACTTAACATTATTAAGAGAAGGACTGTTATCATTCCCCGCCGGATCATATACGGGTTTCGACGCTCTGTTGGAAGCTTATGGTGGCTCCACTACGCGAGTACCCCTGTACAAGTTATATGTTGAAACTCCTATTTTTACAAGCTGGACGTCAATCGGAGTGTCTCCAACTAACTTCCCCATAAAAGACGTAGACCTATTGATTGGGAACGACTTAGCGGAAGAAGGAATATGGAAAGAGCCCATAGTTATGGAAAATCCAACCGAGGAAAATTACGTCATCGAAGCCCGACGAACGGAACCTACCCTCTTTCCTCTGAGCATAGTAACCCGGGCAATGACCAAACAGTCGCGTTCTCCATTGGTATCGGAGGAAGTCATGGACGACGTCGACGTAGGAGTAGGAGACATATTCAACGAAAGCTCGAGTGTCGAGCCAACAATCCACCCAGAACCGATACCAGTTCCTAAGTCGGTGGTTTCCGAAATAGATTTATTCTCGAAGGAGGATCTAGTAAAGAAACTCCGAATAGACCCCTCCTTAAGTGACCTCAGGAAGCTTGCTGTGTTGGGAGAAGAAGCCCTTAAAAGTGACAGCTCTTACTATTGGGAGAAGGACTTACTGAAAAAGAAACTAGGATCTCTTAAAAGTGATCATCTACTGGTCTTGCCTACCCCATTTAGAAATTTAGCATGTAAGTTTGCTCATGACAGTCCTCAAGGTGGACATCTGGGACAAAAAAAGACTTTTAGAAAAATTGCTAAGCACTTCACATGGCCAAAAATGAAGGAAGAAGTGGAACGGTATGTAAGAAGCTGTTCCATGTGTCAACTAGTAGGCAAACCTGCACATTATCCATCACCTGCGCCGTTGAACCCTATACAAGTAAGAGGCGAACCCTTTTCACGTCTGGTGATTGACTGTGTCGGCCCGCTACCCAAGATCCGGCAGGGCAACCAGTTCCTGTTCACTATCATGGACACAGTCACCAGGTACCCAGAAGCAGTTCCTCCCAGGAGGATTAATGCTCGCCTAATAGTGAGAGCACTGATTAAGTTCTTCTCTCACTTCAGATTTCCAAGAGAAGTTCAATCGGATCAAGGGTCGA